AGAGACTATGTAAAAACTGCAACCTTCAATTAGTAGAAGATTAAACACATTTCTTATTGTATTGTCCATTTTATGATAATTTGAGACAATAATAACTGTCATCATTTATCAAGCCTCGTATAACTGATTCAATTTCAACTTAATATACTAATGAATAATGAAGAGTTTATGGAAAATGTTGGAAGTTATTGAATGCCTGTAAGAAAAGGGGAATATAAATATAGCTTTGTTAAAGTGATATGCAACATTAAATATTGACGATTACATCAACACTTGAAAATTAATGTTACTTTGTGTGATATTTAATAGATATTGTAATGCATCACAATGTGAAATATTTGTTGTAACTTCCATACTCAAGCTTGTACATGTAGTTGTTAATAAACTTTTTATTATTATTATTATATGAAAAGGTCGTTCACAGCTGAAATGACGTCATCATTACTAGTAAAATGACTTTTTCATTTTTGGAAACCGGTTTCATGGTTACACATCTGGTCAATCGTCGATCAGCCATCACCATGTCAAGCTCTCGTGTAACGATTTCTCCTTTCAGTTGGATGGCTGTCCTATAATATAGCCAGTTTTGTCCATTTCAGGTGATTTCAATGGGTATATAGGTTCACAAGATGGTCCGGTACGAAGACACTGCAGTTGCAGTTCTAATGTCTATGATTCATTCAATGATGGTACTTGTTGGTTGCAAAAGTTTGTTTCAACCCAATTGTTCTATCCTTTTCGGGATTAGAACTATTCAGTCAGCCTTCGTACCAACAATTAATATACATGTAACAGATTGGGAAAATAAAACGAAATGCGATAAATAGCAGTTTAAAAGGGAGTTGTTAAATAGTGAAGATAAGATAAGATGTTTATTGCATCAAAACGTCAATTAAGGACAATAAGACATTTGATAATACGTTACATAGAAAACAAATACATGACGTGTCAGACAAGTAATACATTCATGCAAACGGTACATCTACGGGAGGAATATAGTCTGATTGCATACTTTATTTCTTATACTGTACCAGGACCTTTTGGCATTTTTCCCTAAGTCTGACATGGGCTGTTTGAAACTAGAGTTACTGGATATACATACGCCCAAATAAACATACTTATTTACATTTTCCATGTTATAATTTTCAATACGGAACCTTTTGTTAATATTTTTCCCTTATTATAGAAGATAATTATTTTTAATTTGTTTGTGTTTACGTCCAATTCCCAGTCTGAGAAGAATTGACTCAAGGGGTTAAGACTCTTTTGAAGATCAATATCTGTGGAGGACACCAGCATAGAAGGGTGAGATTTTGGTATTATCTAGAGTGGGTGCATCGTTATCAGAATTGGATAAATAAGTGTGGAGATCATTAAACATGAATTATACAAGAGCTAAATCTGCCCATTGCAGGTCTTTCTTTAGTGGAATGTTTTAAACATTTATTAACATGACAAGACCATCATCAACTCTCGATGCCATATTATGATGCTTCCGATTTTCATTAAATTTGAATTCGAACCACCATTCAACAGCCATTGATGATTAACAGAAAATCTGGATAATCGAGACCTTTTTTTACATTTTCGTCACAACGGCAACAATGACAATCGAGGCTACAATTAAGGTTTTTAAAAAAAGTATTTCTCTGCTTAGATTGACTCAATTTCACTGAAACTTTCAGAATATTCCCGATACGTTATCTATTATTTAACTATTTTTTTTATCTAATCTTACCTAATGTATCTTCAATATTAATATTGAAGAAGATTTTACACCCATATTTGAAAATTATGAGTTAGAAAGCCCTTCGGTAGTTTTTTGAACACATGAAAAAAGAAAAACCAAAAAAAAAACCCAAAAAACAACAAAAAATTGTCAACATATTAAAATTGTCAACATTTTTGCACATTTTCATATTTTAATAAACTATTCCATATACAATGATGAAAAGTAAGTTTCATGGCTTACTTTATTCATTTTGGAAAGAACAGTACACTATATGTTCAAATAAACTTTGTCATTTTTCATTGACTTATTTCAAGAATAATTTATTTTATGTTAGTTATGCTTTAAAGATCTACATTTACTGGTATTTATTGGAGGATATCACTATTTCATTTTCTTTTTCGTGTAAGATTACTATAGTTTGCCATTTGGTATCACAGTAATTATGGAAAACTGTATCCAGGAAAATTCTGTTGGAAACTATACCACTTTTACAGCATCCACATAAGTGCATCACAAAATTCTATAGTAAACTATAATATGGATAAAATTATGAAATTATGTAGGAAACTATAGTATTTGTTAAAATGGTTAAAGTATACATATAAATTCTACAGAAAACTATAGAATGCTCATTATATGTTTCTCCACAAAATCTATAGAATAAGATATTTTTTCTGTGGTGTTCTACAAAACGTCATCTAGAAAACTATAGGACTACAAAACTGACTTGAGACTACAAGTTAGTTCTATAAAAAAAATATATATATTTTTTACCACTAAATCTATAGGAAACACCACTGGCTTGAAAATACAAGTTAGTTCTATAGTAAACTACAGTTTTTACTGCAAAGGCTATATACAACTATAGGATTACACAATAGACTCCAGGATACAAGTTTGTTCGAGAGAGAGAGAGAGAGAGAGAGATGGGGATTAACGTCCACTCAACACAAACTAGGTCATTTCGGGACTAACATATGTTTTAATTTTATTTCAATAATTCGCTTGCGCGTAGGGGTCTTTAGCAGTGGGAGGAAACCGGAGGACCCGGAGAAAACCCACGAGGTTAGACAGGCGACCCTACTTCTTGTCACGTACAACCGGGGACTCGAAACCACTTGTTCTATAGAAAACTGTAGTTTTTACAACCAATTCTATAACAACAGCACTAATGAATCTATACTATAGGTTTATTTTTCCTCTATAGTTTCTTCATGAACCTTAAAATACATATTATATAAGGTCCATGGCTTCTTACAGTATTCTATAGGAAATAACACTTGGAAAAAAACACATCTATCGATGAAATGAATAAAATGGGGTTTAATTAACGTCCTACTGTTTTTCTCCTAGTGGAAATGAAATGAAATGAAATGGTGGTTTAACGTCCTAACGGGGCTAATGAAGACGAGCATACACCATACAGTGTGCTATGACTATAAGGGAAATTTTGCCCGGACAGCGGCACTACGGCCTACTCTTATATCGAATTCTAACTGTCAAGGGATGTTTTACGTGCACGCCAATGTGTACACGGGACCCTGGTTTGTTGTCTCATCCGAACGACTAGACAGCTGTTCTTGTAATGCCCTCCATCCTGCATCACTGACATGGGGGGAAGCACGCCGGAAAATCTGTATGAACTTACTCGGCCAATGCAGGGTTCGATAATGAACAATTTCTGTTCAGGGTTAACAGAGCGATAAGCAATTTAATTGGTCTAGACTTTGGGATACTAACTCTCCTTCTACTTGAGATAGAATATTCAAACTTGGTGTAGGCTATATGTTTATTAGGTCGATGCCTTGATATAGTTCGAAAATGAGCATTTTCTGCTTACGGTAAGCAGAGATGAGCAATTTGATTGCTTGATGCTTTTGGGCATTATAACTTTGGTTGTAATTAAGTGAGAACTATGAAACTCCGAGTATAGATTCATGACATCATTACCTTGACTAAGTTTGATGAGAATTTTCTGCTTAGGCCAAGGAGCGATAAACAATTTGATTGGCCAAGGCTCTGGGACATAACAACCATGCTTTTAATTGAGGTAGAATGTTTAAACTGATAAAACTTAGTATAGCCTATAGTTGATAATCAGTTTGATTGCTCGAGACTTTTGCAAAAATCATGTAACGATTGTATACAGAGTCAGTTAAAAGCCTGATTAAATAAATGTGTTTTAAATTACCGGTATGTCGCTGAGCTGTGGGGGTGGGGTCTTATATACTCCCTTAGCCACCGTGGCTCCAAGATCCTATACAAATTCTTTTGAATCTATAGTCATGTGAAAAAAAAAATACAGAATGAATTTGATTTCCTGTAGTATTCTAGCATTCTATAAAATCCCATAAAGCTGTATAGGAACAATTACTTTGTCAAAAGGATTTTTCATAAGTGATGAGGGAAGTCAAATTGTTTATGAATGCTAGTCATCATTTAAAAAAAAGAGAGAAAAATGGGCAGTGAAATTCCCAACCTAAAATGAAATATTCGGTAAAATATCGAGTACTGCGCCTATCCCTACTGCCAAAAGTTACGGGCACTGTATGTACAATCGCACCAACAATACTGGCTACGAGAACGTAACTAAAAACGCTGAGATATACTGAGGGTTGAGAGATTATAAAGTTACAATTTCATATTTTCTAAGAAAGTCAAAACATAATTATTTCTATGTCTTTTGCTCAATAGGTTGTCAACTCACTATTATACGATCATAGGTTTCATTCTCACACCCGAAATAATAACACAATTACCTCCCTTGTTTTCTATTCTCCACCATGGAGTAGCTTTTTTCAAACGTTTGAATTTGAAGAGGAAAATGATATTTTTGCCAATTTCTCAACTGGCAATAGTGAATTATAGTATTAATAGGATTATTCTTTAACAAGGTGGGACTGTTTATAGATACCATCTATTTTAAGGCTTTATTTTTATACATTTTAAAAATATAACTTAAAAATATGAAATTGTAACTTTAAGGTTTGTTATCTACAACAATACATGTAGAGCATGAATCGGAGTTCTATGATGTGGAGGGGCCCCTGTCCACAATGGCATAACAGGGGAGCCAACTCTATTTAAGATGTCGTAAATATTAAATTTTCTTGAACAGCAAATTTGAGGAGCCCTTTTTGTATTAGAAACTGCAAGAAATAATGTCTTAATTGTATTAAATACATGAAAAATGTACTTTATTTCTTATATTTATAACTTTTGAAATAATATTATCTATATCGTAATTCACAGACTTTCATCTGGCAAATACAGGCAACATGGCGGACGAAGAAAATTCGCCTGAACTTAACCCTGAAAAAATAACTCCAGAACAAAATGACGTGCACGCAGACAGGGCAAAACCAACAACTAAGGTACTTGAATTAATTATCTATATTTCACAGTTTTCGGACTAAGCGATTTAAGAACGTAATGGCGGAATTTCTAGTGATCAATATGACCACAGTTAGCTGATTAATCATTTATGATTGATTAGATTCTTCTGCTAACAGAATTACGAACGTCGAAACTGAGACAGTTGAGTCTGTTAATATATTCTGTATCAGATATTGTCTACCCAAGACGTTATTTAGCACTTGTTCTTCTTAAAAACATATGTGTATAATTTATTACATAAGCAGGAATACATGTTACATGATCTCAAATGTTTTTGTTTTTTTTATTTCATTCAATGTTTTCTGCAAGACACACCCCCTTCGATTAGAGAAGTTTAAATTACATGTACCGGTACATATTATTTTGACAACATGATTTAGACCATTCAATGCTATATATTGTATTTAATTGTAATAAAAGTTCAGAAAATTATTTTTTATGGATGTTTGTGTTTGTTGCTGATACAACCCTACAGTAATTTTTTTTTTAAAATATATAATGTTGCAGATGAGTCTGTTACAATGGATGGAAATAACAGTATCGGAACCAGAAAAAAGAACCAACGCTTCTATGAAAATGCAAGACACATATATAGTTTATTTAATTGAAACAAGGTAGGTCAGTTCAATCATTTCTAAGTTCATCTGGATTTTCCGACGTGGTTTCCCCTTGTCAGTGGTGCAGAACGGAGGGCCTGACAAGGAAAGCTGTCTAGTCCTTCGGATGATACGATAAACCGAGGTCCCGTGTATACATTGGAATGCACGTAAAAGGTCCCTTGGCAGTTGGAATTCGATATAAGAGTAGGCGATAGTGCCGCTGCCCGGGCAAAATTTCCCTCATAGCACACTGTATGGCGAATGCCCGTCTTCATTAGCCCAGTATAGGAGCAGAACAGTAGGACGTTAAACCCCATTTCATTTCATTTCATTTCATTTCAATCATTTCTGGAGCTCAGAAAAATATTTGACAAATAAAATACTACCTACTATAGATTTTCTCCTACATACTACATGTATATATATATACAGTTTCATTTGTCTGTTCAAGTTGTCGTGTGCATGTGGGAGATGACTGAGCGGTCTAAAGTATGTGCTTAAGATCATGATATTTGTCATTCAGACAAGTTTTGTGGTTTTAATCTCAGTCTCGAACATTACAAGGAGCAGTGTCGTCTTCATCCCACTGCCAATTAAGACACTAGCAGTAGAACACAAGCCAAAATATCAACTAGAAAAATATTCTACAAATATTGCGGCACCCCGAATATTGGCCTGGATGCGTTGTCAACATTTGAAAATAATAGGTCATTGGCTAGATTATCCGGTCTTTTACATTAACATAAACAAAGTCTATGGGAGGTAACTAGTCCTAAAACAAGATGTTGACGCCAATGTTGCATTGCCAGTTCAATATCCAACACTCTTAAGCTTGGTGCAGACGGTTAATGTTGTTAGCTGTTCCATCTTGAAGTATCACATGACAGTAGAGCGCTCGCTGATTAGACAGTTAACCAGTTGCTTGTTGCCTGTTGTCGCCTACCGCATCAGATGAGCAATTTTGAAGCAACAGATGAACAATTTCTCGGCGACGAGCGATTTTCTGTTGTCGAATATCAAACATGTTTGATATTTGGCAACGAGAAGCAACTCGGAGCAACAGCAGGCAACTATTGTTGCCCGTTGCCGCAGATGAGCCATTTTTTCTTTCAACGACCAGCGATTTCACTGTTGCCTGAAAGTTGCTCGAAAAAGTTGCCCGTCTGCGTCTGGCTTTAATTTTTATATGCCCACATTGAAATGTGGTTGTATATTGTCGTCGCCCCCGTCTGTCCAGTGTCCACAATTGCTTGTGGACATTCTAGAGGCTAAAGTTAATATCCGACCATACTAACAAGTTTATTGATTTTCAATGGTTTATGATAATTTGAACAGCTAAATCCATGATATTAATTAATGTTTTGTATACCAAACGTTAGCATGGGCCAAACAAATTCTAATGATTTTCTGATAATTACTCAATGACTTGTTATTCTAAAATCAGATTTTAGTGTGTTATAAATGTTTCATTCCCGACAATGAGTGCCTGGAAAATTTAGCTGTTGTGGGAGTATGTTTCGTTGCCTGGCAACCTATCTTTTTTTTCTTTTTTTTTTCTTTTTTTAAAAATTAATCCTAATTCGTTGTCATGATTCATGTTTGTTTAGAATAATGCAAGAATTATGGGATTTATTGCGGGAAGGGGCACAACCCTTACTTGGCTTGGCCAAATATACTGGATAAATAACCACATAAAAAAACAAACTCCCGGTTACGCATGGGCAATAGAACTTTTCGCCAATTATTGACAATGGTCCTAGATCCTCTGTACATGTATGTTGAAGACTAGGAGGTTGTGAGTAACCGAGACTATGTATGATATTATAGTACAATAAATACATCCACTAGTTTGAGCTATCTGTTAAAAAAACTTCCCAAAAATAAAGAGGAAGTGATGTTCGTTCATTCCTTACTAATATTGTGGCTAAAAATCGTATATAGCAATATATTGCGATACTTGACAAAAAGTATTGCAATACTTCTGATAAAGTCTATCACAAACGACAGTTTTATTTTGAATAGTTTTATTGTTTATTTCTTTTATATGTAAATATGTAACAAACCTTTACCCCTTTAATAAGTATTATTTTGTCAAGTCAAAAATAAGTAATTATGATTGGCTTGTACTGGTCCAAATATGAAAACAAATAACACTCCTGTGTTTTAGAAAGTCTTTATGAACCGTCAAGTGCCTGGTGAAGAATTTATTACAACGCAGACCAAGACCAGTCGGACCAACTGATAGACCACTCGGACCAAACAAAACAAATACTCGGACTATATAAAAAGACCACTCGGACAGAACAAAAAGACCACTTGGACCAATAATAAAGTGTTGTTTTAATAAATTATTAATTGTGTTTGTTTTAATATTACTACTCAACCAATAATAAAGTGTTATTTTAAAGTTACAATTTCATATTGTTAAGTTATATTTTTAGAATGTATTAAAATAAAGCCTTAAAATAGATGGTATCTATAAACAGTCCTACCTTGTTAGAGAATAATCCTATTAATCCTATAATTCACTATTGCCAGTTGAGAAATTTGCAAAAATATCGTTTTCAACTTCAAATTGAATATAGGAAATAGGAAAACAAGGGAGTTGACAACCTATTGAGCAAAAGACACAGAAATAATTATGTTTTGACTTTCTTAGAAATTATGAAATTGTAACTTTAATGAATTGATAATTGTTTTAAGACTACTCTGGCCAATAATAAAATGTTGTAATAAAATGTTGTTTTAATAAATTGATAATTGTGTTCATTCTAATATGCATTTACATTCAATCGTTTCTGTTCGGAAAAATACACCAGAAGTCTTAACCGAATGGCAATTCCCAGTGTCTGTTTATTCCAATCTACACTGCTGGTATTTATTGTGCATGCACTCCAGAACCGTTTGACATGAAATCTGGAATATGCCTATCCTCGTTTTTCGAGTCCCTTGTTACAAATGGCGCTGAAACGCACTATGGTACACGATTTATGTACCCAGTAAGATCACAACATCAATGTTGACTTAGATTGACAAATAATTTGTGTCTTTGATGTCAAAGACTTTAGATGATATTGAGTTAGAGACTTAGCTACTTTAATATGTTTTTTTTTAAAAGAAACATGTTTCATATACAATTTTTATAATATATACATGTATTTACTTGTCAGAGTAACTGATGAAAATATGAAAGGATATAGTGATGGAGCAACATCTTTATGGAGGAGATACAGTGAATTTGAACTACTAAAGAATTACTTGGAGACAACTTATCCTACTATTATTATTCCACCTTTACCAGAGAAAAAAGCCACATACACCTGGCAGAATGCACCTACTGATAAATTTGATCCGGAATTTATAGAAAGACGTAGAGCAGCATTAGAGGTATACTTAATTCCAAGACAATTTATATTTTATTTAATGCATGCGCAAGCCCAAAAACGACCATATCAAGTATTACTTGTGTTTATCTGCATCTGCTCAGATTTAGTTTTCAAACTGGGCCAATTAAACCTAATTTACAAATTATTAAAATAATTTTATTCCAGGTATTTTTATTAAGAATAGCTTCACATACTATATTGTCCACGGATAAAATTTTCATGGGTTTTATGCAACAGGTAAGTATTTTTTTTAACTATTACATGTAACACTATGAACCAAATTTTACACAAGTCCCTTTTTATCTGACCACATGGAAATGGGGTCGTATATTGCTGTCATTCCCCATCCGTACACAATTTCTTGTGAACACTCTACAGACTACATTTATCATCTGATTGTTTTGATATTGATATATGTTGTTTACATTAGTCAGATGAAGAAGCCTTGTTAATTTTTATAATTTCCAATAATTTCTTCTGAAGTTATGGTCCTTAATTCACTTTGTTAAACCTTGTGAACGCTGTAAAGTTATCATCCGATATGTATGAAACGTATATAGATCATTTAAATTAGTGACACAAAGATTCCTTTTTAATTTCAGCAATTTCCAATAATTACATCTAGAGATATCACCCTTGTTTAATTTTGTGAAAATTTGAATTATAAAAGTTATCATCTGATCTGTACGAAATTTATATGCATCATTTAGATTAGTGGAACGAAGAATCCAATTGAATTTCAGCAGTTTCAAATAATTACTTGTAGAGTTATGGCCCTTGATTCACCTTATTGTACCTTGTGAACACTTGAATGATGAAAGTTATAATCTGATCTGTATGAAATTTATATGCATTATTTGAATTAGTGAAACGAAAAAGCTGGTTGACTTTCAACAATTTCTGGAAATTACTTCCAGAGTTAAGGTCTTTTTTTCAGTTTGTAGACCTTGTGAACCCTCAAACGGCGAATATTATAAATTGATCGGTATGAAATTGTCTTGTAAATAAATGCCCCCAATTATCTGCAAAAGAATATATATGCAACAACCCTTGTCGGCCACTCAGATGATTTAGCTGCTATGGGTGTATGTGTCGTTGCCTGGCAACCTATTCTTTTGTCATTAATTTAAAAAGGTTTGAAGAAATATTCAGGTTGATAATTATTTGAGAGCAGACAAAACTTCCTTTTCAAACATGAATTATATGCCTGTAATTGAAACATAGTTTGGGTAGTTGATAATATTGATAATAATGTGCATTTTTACCACAATATGGGACATGGTGTTATGTGATTTATGTATGATTTTATGATTTCTAGGATAGTGGTTGGAAAGATGCTGTATATAGTACAGATTTTCAGAGCAAGGTAAATTTTGCAAGCCAACACTGAGGCTGATGTCCCCTGCCGAAATCCCAAAATAAGCAGATGATACATATTAATTATTTTCACATTTATCTTTTTAAAAGTATTGAGCAATCAAACTGATTATCTATGCTTAGTCTAAGCATAAAATATTCACGATCAAACTCAGTCAGGTTTTGAAGTACCTGGTATTGAAACTATACACTAAGTTTCATCCCTCTCCATCAGTTATCTTGTCCCAAAGCATCGACCAATGAAATTGCTTATCTCTGCATAGCCCTAGTGGAAAATGTGCATGATCGAACTCTGTAAAGGCATTCACCTAATAGACACCTACACCAATTTTGAACATTCTACCTCAGTTGGAAGGAGAGTTTCAGCTATTGTGTTCCAAAGTCTCGATCAGTCAGATTGAATTCTCTACTTCGCCTGAGCAGAAAATGCTCAACTTTGAACTTTGTTAAGGTATTGATTGATGTAGTGAAATTATACGCAAAGTTTCGCCACTATCACTCAATCAGAATCAAAGTTGTCGAGCTCCAAAGTCTCAACCAATCAAAATGCTTATTGCTCTGCTTATCCAGAGCAGAAAATGCTCATTATCAAACTTAGTCAAGGTATTAAAACTATACACCACGTTTAATCACGCTCACTTAATTAGAACTAAAGTTCAACCAAAAGCATCAACCAATCAAATAGCTTATCTATGCTTACCCTAAGCAGAAAATGCTCATCTTCGAACTCCATCAAGGTATAAACACCCCACACCAAGTTTGGAATTTCTAGCTCAATTAGAAGGAAAATTATTGTGTCCCAAAGAGTGTGACATACAGAGAGAAGGGACAGACCCATTTTAATAGTCCCCTGCTTTCTTCGAAAGGTGGTGGACAATAATTGTTAGTGCCTGTGTTACTGAAATTTTTGTGTATCCTCTATGGAGAGGGAAATGGGATTATTTTGAATTCTTGAAAAATACATTTAGTCCTCAACATTAATATTATACCAAGTATGAAACATATTTAAATTAATTGTTGCTTAACATTTGATAAATATTAATGGTTGTACAAATTACATCAATACAAATACATGAAGATTATTTTTATCTTCAGGCTGAATCCAAATTAAAAGCGATAAGTGCTTCATTTCGTCTTAGAAAACCAGACAGACGATTTGAAGAGGTTAAAAATTATGCCAATGAACTTCAAACTAACATTTCAAACATTCTGAAATATAGAGCCGTAAGTATTTCATTTACTAAGATCACTGTGCCGAAACCAACTTTTGAAATGTAATGTGGATTGTGTCTTGTTTTCAGGTTTGTCCTATGTACATGTAGTTTGTAGTGTGATCCTTCTGGACTTACTAATGGGTTAGTCTCAAAATGACCCACTTTAGTGTTGAGTGGTATTTAAACCCCATTTCTCTTTCTTGATATCAAAGTTTTGCAATGTTGTAAAATGTAGTTCTAATAGAGATAATTAACTATTAGTGTCTAATAATGTGACAATTATTTCTAGCCTAAGGAAATTACATTCACAGGCAGTTTTTTTTTATCCTGAAGGATTCTGTGATGTTTTTATTTGTTAGCATATTAATTGATCGTGGGATGACAATCTCGATTAATTAATACTGAAGGGTAAATCTCCAACAGATACTATTGTCTCTACCAGCAAGTTTACAGAATGTTCTCAACTACAGGAAACTTTAAATTGTTAAGAAATGTATTGAAATAGGTTTCCTATCATATTAATTGTAAACAGAAATAACCATGACAATCTTAGTCTCGAATCATCTAGGTAAAGTGTTTATTCTAACCAAGGCCCATTATTTGTTTTTTGATCTTTAACTATTTGCTATAATGTTTGATATTGTAGAGAATGGCTGATAAATTATATGCTATACATAAAGTTCATGGTAATTATGCTCGTGTTTTTGGTGAGTGGAGTTGTATAGAAAAAGACATGTCTGAACCATTACAGAGCGCTGGCCATTATATGGATGTGTAAGTATTTTAACAGTCAAGCTCTTTATCATTATGGAACTGCAGTGGTAGAATGTCTTGAGTTTGGATCCTGGTGTCGGCCGAGATAAACCCTCGCGTTAGTATATGAAGAGAATCTGGAATCACTTTTGTTTGGGCAAAATTTTCCCCCTCACATTGCACACCTACCCACTGAAATAACAAATATTGTATATGAAAGTGACCAAATGCACAACATTTTAGATTACAATACAATATTTATAAGCTATCATTGCATGTATGTGCTAGTGTATTCTGGTGGTTCAAAGTATAGAGTCTACATGTATATGAAAAAATAAAAACCCTGAACAGTCAGCATATCGTCTATACTAAAGACGATATGCTGACTGGGGTTTTTTTCATATTTAAGCTGTATAAACTTTAAATTCATGTCTATTTCAGGTTAGCTTCATCCATTGATCCTATGTTAGAGGAAGAAGAACATTTTGCTGATCAACTTAAAGAATATTTAGCCTTTTCAGATTCTTTACGGTAAAGATCACTTGACTATTTTTATGATGTATTGACCATGAAATACAGTATCATAGATAAGACAGGAAACCAACAGAAAGTAAGGCCACTAAACACAAATTAAATCAGTGGTTTTGGGTGGTGGTGGTGTGGCACCACCTCCCCTTACCCCCCCCTCCCCCGGCGTTAAAAAAAAATTTCTGGCAATAGAAAATTTGTGCAATTAGATGTTCATTACCAGTCACTGGTCAAGCATCACCAGTTTTGTTAGAAACTCTAGTATTGTAGAATAAAGATAACTAGATAATAAATATCATGTAGTAATATGTTTATCTCTTTTAGGTCTGTGTGTCGAAAGTATGAATGTGTACAATATGATTTAGAAAGGGCCGATGATAATTTGTCTGCTAAAGCCAAAGAACGAGATTTACTGGTAATTATAACTATTAGTAAATATTAATGGGCATGTGGCTTTATTCTTTGGATCCTTAAAAAGGGTCTTAAAGCACATATTAATGTAATACAGGATTTACTAGTAATTATAACCATTCTTTGTAAACATTAACGGGCATATGGCTTTATTCTTTGGATCCTTAAAATGGATCTAAAAGCACATATTAATGTACAGTAGAATCTGTACGATCAGCCACTCCTATTCAGCGACATCTCCTTGTTGGCGGTCACGATAAATTCCCCCCAGTAGAAATTCTATTGTTTCATCTCTTTAATCAACGGTCACTTCTCTAATGCGGCCAGTGGTCACTGTTTTAGTTATAAATTTAACAAAATATCGCCCATTCAACGGCCATTGTTGAATGATACCATCTTATCGTACTTCGTTTCACCTCCGGTAATCCTGTGATTAATAGTTAATTATCTGGCCCCCACCGATCAGGTAAAAAGAACTGTGAAAATAACAATAAACCGGGGATTATCTGTTAATTAATCTTTTGTTTTATTATTGTTTTCACACGTAGCGAGAAGCATTATTTGATAATGATTGACTAAACTATAAGTATCGACAAAGCTGAGTTTTGTCACAATCATTTAGTATCTATTGTCCATGTCACTTTGTTGCTAAACAGAAGTTTTAATGTCTTCTATATTACATACAATGTTACACCCCCTGAAAATCGGTGACAAATTTAGCGATGTTTTTTTGGACATGCTTTTGTTGATAAAATAAAATTAATTCAAGGATTTTCTTTACACAAATAGATAAATATTATCGATCTCATCACAATGGTAGACAGTAGTATCAATGTAGGTACAAAATTACACAATTACATCAGTGATTTGTGTCAAAGAATTTTCGTTCAAAGCAAGTTTTAGCGATGACCAAATTTACCGATGCAAGTATTAATGTTTGCTCAAATGCATCCAAGCGTACAATTTACTTCACATCAGCTCTACAAACACTGAGATTTTATTAAGAGGTCACTCCCGTTAAGCGGTCAGTCATGAAAATTCCTGTGAGCGGCTGCTTAATAGAGATTCTACAGTAATACTTTATTTACTAGTAATTATAACTATTTGTAAACATTAAAGGGCATATGGCTTTATTCTTTGGATCCTTCATTGTGTCAACTGGTGTGGTTTCAATTCCCAGGTTGTATGTGACATGGATTAGGGTCGCCTGTTCAACCTCGATGGTTTCTTTCCACTGCTAAAGACCCCTACGTGCAATCGAATTATTGAAACAAAATTGAACCATATGTTGGTCCCGAAATGACCTAGTTTGTGTCAAGTGGACGTTAAACCCAATTTCCCCCTCTCTCTCTGTTATCCTATATTTGATCGCTTAAACTTAATTTCATGTTACATCAACTACTACAGTATTTGGATATGTGCAGATGGTATTGTATTAATTTTATTGGTATTTTTGTTGCCTTATTTAAATTATTAGCATAGATTCTTATTGAAATCTCCGCAATTTGATTAAGGTTCAAGGGAAGTCACCAGGAACGTTTTCTTTATCTGGTGTAAAGTCAAAGTTATTTGGTAGTGATACTCCCGAGCAAAGAGAGTTAAAAATAAAACAGTTAGAAGAACAAATAAAACAAGCTGAGATTGAATTAAAACAGGCAACACAAGAAACACAGTAAGTATATGTTGTTCTTTAGTAAACAGAGAATAAAAATATACATAATAAACTAAATAAAAAGATTTTTATACCAGCAGTACAAACGACTGGTTGCTTAGATACGATTTGTTTTGGGCCCCGATAGGGACAAGAGAAATGCATAATAGATTTGAATAGCTGGAATCTGGCATATTTTTGTGGTACTTTGTCTTTGTGTTCAAACAAAATATTGAGTTAAATATTTACATTATTTATGCTTGTACCAGAAATATCTAGGTATGTTGATCCAACTTTTTCCTGTGATTAATAAGATATTAAGAACTGGGGCCTGTTTCACGAAATTTTAACTAAGATAAAATCCAAATTTTAGTAATTTGGTTGGATAATATACTATTCAAAAAAAGTAGGGGATATTTGATTTTTAAGTGTTATTAAAGTCACCTAATGAAACTGACGAAGAAACAAATGACAAAATGAAATGAAGTTCACATTCATCGATTTATTCCAAATGATCGTTAGACTAAGTAAGGCACAGACTGACCATTATAAGGGTAAAATGATACCCGGGGTCAAACAGCAAAGTTACCACAGCATCACAACCAAGTCAGTAACGGGTAAATCTTCCTCTGTTTGCCAAACAAGCATTGATCCGACGTGGCATACTCCTAATGAGACGTCTAAGGTCATTTTGGTCCAGATTATCCCATTCCTGTTGCAACGCAGCAGCAAGTTCTTGGACATTGGCAGGACGTTGTTGACGTTGACGTAACCTCTGTCCAAGCATGTCCCAGACATGCTCGATGGGGGAGAGGTCGGGACTCAGTGCTGGCCAAGGTAATGTGGTGATGTTCTGTTGTTGGAGGTAACCTGTAACGATCCTGGCCCTGTGACATCTTGCGTTGTCATCCTGGAAGATGAAACGGCGGCCATGACGTCGTGCGAACGGCACAACATGGACTGCCAAGATGTTGTCCCGGTAGTACTGGCCTGTAACACGCCCTGCAACAACATGTAAAGCCGTTCTTCCAGCAACAGTGATGCCTCCCCACACCATAACAGAACCACCCCCAAATCGATCATGTCTGATGACGTTAACGTCTTGGAAGCGCTCGTTTCGACGACGCCACACCCTCCTACGTCTGTCCAAAAAATCAACAGTGAACCTTGACTCATCTGAAAACATCACATTGCTCCAGCGTCGATTATCCCAGTGTTGACGATCCCTACACCAACGACGTCTTGCCTGAATGTGATGATCTCTCAAACAAGGGATCACGCGAGGACGTCGGGCGCGAAGGTGACCCCTATGCAGTCGATTCCGAATCGTCTGGCCACTCACTCTCTCACCAGTGTCTGTTTGAAGACGAGCGCTGATCTGATTTGCTGTGATGACACGATTTCTCAAGGCCAAGGTACGGATAAATCGATTCTGGGCTTGAGTTGTCGCCCTTGGTCGACCTGAGCGTGGTCTGTCCTGTACAGATTGTGTATCACGGTATCTGGACCATAGCCTGCTTATGACAGACTGGGAAACATTCATCGTCCGCGCCACAACCGCCTGTGTTGTGCCGATCTGTAGCATGCCAAGGGCACGTAACCTTTCATTTTGGGTAAGCCGAGGCATATCAAAATTTGTTTTCTGGTCACTAAAACAATTAAACTGATGTTTCCACCCTGGAATTCAATGCCACAATGACTGTAACATTCAAAGTCAGAGTCGTGCAAATCTTGGGTTGGACCCCAATGATGATTCCAAGCATCACCTGCATTCCATGCGGTAGCTATTGGTACGTTTGGGCGTCACATGTAACTGGAAATGTTTCTTCTGTTAGGTTCTATAGTGACTTTTTTCGTAGTCATTTGCATATTTTAGTATTATGCCCCCAAAATCACATATCCCCTACTTTTTTTGAATAGTATATTAGACTGATTGTAGTGCTTAGCCAATCAAAATTGAAGTATCTACTAAAATTTGGATTTTATCTTTAGTTACAATTTCGTGAAACAGGGCCCTGGTGTTTTAGCATCCACTCAACACAAACTAGGGCATATTGGGACAAGTCCTGAACACAAACCCCACAAGGTTGGGCAGACAACAATATTTCTTGTCACATAAAAGCATGGTATCAAAACCACATCTCTTGCCACAATAACAGACCTCAGGGCTCACACTGGCTTTCATTTTTTTCCTGCCAAAATGGGTGATAATTTTTATATAAAAAAAGGGTTCATATTTTTTTCCGCCAACTGGAATATTTTATCTGCCCAAAATGTGTGATAAAAAAGACAACATGTAACAGTTTTATGTCTCAGGTAGAAATAATTACCGATATATACAATACAATATACAACAACTTTAAAAATCTTTCTTTACATAATACATCAGAAGTTTTTATATATATTTACTAAGATAAAATTTTATTTTCGGTGACTAGTATTTTCAGTAGACCTATTTACACGCCAGATCACATTCAAGGAGATTGCCAATTTTCTGTAAAATTTATGTTTTGCATGTACAATAGGCCTATTGTTATTTTCAGGCACCGTAAAGGTATCAGAATCTGAATCCCTGATAGAATGATTTAAGTTTCAATTATATTTGTATATGAGATGCTTAGAATTATATGTGTCATTCACTTTTACAGCATTTTGGCTATTTAACCCGTTCTTACGTAAACAGAATTCAACTATCAAAATATTTCATTCTTGTCGAAAAGAAATGTCGGCCATTTTTGTTAAAACTAGTGTGATATGATATTTAAAATATATTAGATTTGTTCAGCTTTAAAAATCCAGCTTGACTGAGTTAAAATAATATTAACATAATGTTTGTAGATTACATGTTCAAAGTGCCCTGAAGGATATAGAGAGATTTAAACGACAGAAAACAAAAGATTTACAAGAGATATTCACCAATTATGCCATTATGCAAATTAAGCAGTGTAAAAAGGTAAGGATGTAGTGTTGTTGTTTGGGTTAGTTATTGTTATACATAATGGATATTTTTTATTAAAGTGCCACATGGAGCAAGTTTGGAAACAAGAAAAAGTTTCATGTCTAAGTCTTATTCGCACACCCTAAATGACAAACTGAAAAATTGAGCCTTTGAAATTACTATGATAGAAATATCATTGTTAAAATACAACTAACAACATCCCATTGTTGTTATAAATACCTTCTTATTAACAACTTTGGTATCTTCTAAGAATGTTTAATGTGAAGTCATTCAAAACATCTGGTTTAATACCTTTATTGTGAATTGTTTGATGAAGAATGTAAACTGATCAGATTGAAATATTATTTTAACAGTCATTGAAATTGACAATCACAAATGACATTTTCTTCTTTGGTTACCATTTGGGTAATGGTTGCTATGCTTCTGTGGAAGACATCAGGGAATTATGATGTTATGTGTGCAGTAGTCGAACTGGGTGGACATGGCTATGTAAATCGTGAAGTGTCTCATACACCAGAAAATATGGTAATAATTCAAATGTCTGTATGATTATATTTTTAACTTTAATTTTTAAAATTCTATTTTAGGGAATTGCTATATGGACAAGTGCAAAAGATTGTTTTGTAAAGATGTGAGAGATAGAATAAAGATTATCTTCCTTTACCACCATTACAACTGTTATAGTTTAACTATTATCAAGATTGTCTCTTGATTTACGCTAAGTGACCTCTCTTCTATCCTATTTTTATATTCGACACAAATTGAATATTATGGTTTAATATAAGATGTGTATTATGAGAAAACAAACCACTCTTTTTTACTGTTTTACACTTACACACAAAATACACTGGTTAATTTATGATCAAGCATAATTATTATTATAATAGCTTTGTGTAAAAGCAAGATTCTTTGAATGATATGATTCATTGATAAAGCTATAGTAAATGTACATCCAGTGATGAATTGTTGGTATGTGAGTTATTCGCGTTTAAATCAGCTCTGGTCTTTCTCACCCTTAAAAAAAAACCACCAAAAATCTTTCATGGATCAAAAAAAATATACTGGTACTAAACTCTGAATCTGAAGCTGCTGAACCATACATGCAAATGAACCTGGCCATCTGTGGAAATTGTAATTGGTTATGAGGTAATAAATCATATATCTGTTAATATTATTTACTGACTAGTATATTTAATATACAGGATTATTTGACTATGTGAGTAAGATTGTGATTTAAAGCTAATAATACATGTAAATTAGCGTTCATAAAATCAAATCATAATGACGTTTGTGTAATTGATTTTATAAGATTTTGATTTTTATGCATATACCTCCCAGTATATATAAGTATGCCACTGATAAATGGTAACAACTATTATCAACTCAATAACTACTACCACACTTGATGGCAATTATGACAATTTCATTGGTCTACAAGGTTAGCTGGACCAATCATCACATTAGTCAATACAGCTTCTGGTGTTTCTATGTGTATTAAATCTATAATTATTCTATGGCCGCAGCATGTAGTATATTATAATCTGTTTGATAATCACAGAGAAATTGTGATTTGAAAGCTCTGTCAGTTCAAATATACATGTTTTCATGTTTAGCCTAAATCAGATCAACCTAAGAAACGACTAGATAACTTATCAGAGACACCAATTGTAAGTGTAGTAGTGGTTGATAAGCTGATAATGTTTGTAATCATTGCTTAAGGAATATGCCTACTAACAAACTCTTGCGTAGTGCTAATTCCACACTTAAAGTATGTTATATGCATATACTGATAAGCTTATTTATAAACATACTTTGAGTCTAGATTATTGTTATTAATCCTCTACTAATCTTTGATTAAAATATGATGTGGAGATTTATGTTAAAAACATTAAATACTGTATTTTGTTATAAATTATTATGTTTATTTATTTTGTTGTGGAATACAATAGCAGAAGTCACATCTGCTGATGTAAAACTATTTATAGAACTGTTTGGGTGTTTATTGAATTAGTAATGATATTATGTTATTTGTTTTGATTAGAATAGCTCATTGTGTAAAGTCAAGGCTAGAACTGGAGTATTGCTTCTCATTTCGATCATATTGAATCTGTTATCACTAAATTGTTAAGTTGAAAATTTTGACAGGTTATGCCTATACCCCTACCAAGGTGTCTCATTTTAATTATATTTACCAGTCTTCACTCTTGAAAGTTAAAATTTGCATCACTTTTGGCTCTCAGTAAATTTATTTGCCAAAAAGTTTAAATATTTGTAATGCCAAAATAACGGGTTAGTTATAGGTTATTCAATGACTGTATTCAATGGCTTTATTCAATGATATTTGCTTGTATTTGCATGTAGTTATAGAATAAATTAAAATAAAAGCCATATTAATGAATGAAGCAGGGCGTTGTAAAGAGACGTTGAAATATAAAGTTATGATTATTTCTTTTGTTGGGATTATTAGTTGATCATTTATTTTAATAATTTTGTAAAAAAATCCAATATTTTAAAAAAAAGAAGGATGTTATGGACATGGAATGGTATTTTGAGCATTAGAATGTTATCTTAGGTGAAAATATCTCAAATACTTTTTAAAACATTGCTTAATGGGTGTATTTTGAAATTAATGAAGTTTGGACAAGGAATACTTATTTTAGTCAAATTTGATTCGGGGCTGCAATTATGACACTGAACTTTTCGGCTAGAATATCCTGGCTTCATGTAAAAGAAGGAGTTGGTGGAAAGACCACTGTCCGGACAAAATTCTCATCCAAGCATCATGTTAGTTTTAAACCGACCAAAGGATTGCATTCCTGTCTTATCAAATTTCATTTTATACTCACATTTTATAGCGAGTTGTTAGTAACTGTGTCGATTGTTGTCAATGTTAAACATTTATTTTCTTTAAAAACAAAAGTATGATATGCAAAGATCTAATTTCATGAACCGTAGACTAGCAAGAGATATGTATTTCTGAAAGACCTTGCTTGAGTTCACAAAGCATTCTCAAACTTAAGTTAAGAATTTACTCAACTTTCAATCACTGTTTACGAGAAATATCTTTGATCCAAAAGCACAAAACTTTGCATATACATGTAGTTTCTTATTGATGTATTTGATACATTAATATAACGAACCTGCTTTGATGACAACGTTAAATAGCCTAACAGAATATTTACTGAAACTCTTTAACAGTACTTGGAAATATATAGGTCACAGTATATATACTTATGACCCAATTTAACATTTTTGAGGGGAAATTATAACTTGTAAATTTTATTTCATGTTCTACAATCAAAGTAACAGGGATGACACCATGAATTGGTCAAATTCAATCAAACTAGAAGAACTTCTAGCATGCTCAAGTACATATGAATATTCTCATTACTCTACTTTATATCATTAAATTTACTATTAAGTGCAATAATATAATTGAAAGTGCTACAATACAGAAAGTGTTAAGTGCCATCTTTAATTTCTATAATCTATATGTATTAATAAGTTATAATATGTTTACTAGTCATTATGATAATTAATTACTATATCATGACATTTCTTACATGAATTTTAGATGATAGGTTAAAAACATTATTTTGTCAGATTTGATTGAAACAAGAATTTGTTATATACACATTTTTTATAAAAACAATTCCTTGAAACGAAATATAAAGAATTTGTCTTGTAATTATATTTTATAGAAATGTGGCCTGTTCATAAATGTTTAACATCCTAATTTTGATAAATATCATTGGTGGTTACAATTTGTAAGATTTATAAACATTTGTGGCCAATACAGAAGATGTTCTTTAAAATATGGTTACAATTTGTAAGATTCGTAAAGAATTTTGACCAATAGAGAAGTTATCCTTTAACAAAAGGAAATCCAAGTTTTGTATCTGAAGAGGATGTGATTATATTTGTTTTTGTAAAATCAGTACATGAATCCTCGATAACTGAGTCTAAATACAACTTGAATAAAATAATACCAATATTAGTTAGTGTGACTGTCCTACATGGGACATTACCCCCAGTCTATGTTTTCTTTTATATTAAGCTCCTTTGTTATTGTCAGGTCAATTTTTTTGAATAAGATAAAATACTCTGGGCTTGAGTCAGCTTTCATATTTAAATGGCTAGACAATTGAACAGATATTGGCAGTTTGTCACATATTTAACACAAAAGTTAAATTATATGAGTATTAGTGTTATTATTTATCTGAATTCGTGTACCATTATTTTGATTGTTCGACTTAAGTATTATAAATGTGATGTCTCTAGGCTTCGATTGCCTCTAGTTGGTGTAGGTCTTACCAGTTTACAAAAGAAATGAAATGAAATGGGGTTTAACGCCCTACTGTTCTGCTCCGGCTGGGCTAATGGAAACAGGCATATGCCATACAGTGTGCTATGAGGGAAATTTTGCCCAGGCAGCTGCACTATGGTCTACTCTTATATCGAATTTCAATTGGCAAGGGATCTTTTATGTACACACCAATGAAAACAAAGGACCTCGGTTTTTTGTCCCATCTGAATGACTTGACAGCTGTCTGTGTCAGGCCCTCCGCCCTGCACCACTGACAAGGGAAACGACGTCGGAAAGTTTACAAAGGAGGAAGCATTAGAGGTCCCTAAATGAAATTTTGACCGAATGATGTAGTAGACCATTTATGTTTATCGTTTGTTTTGTTCTCGACTGCTCTATAGATGTCTACCATAAATCCATGCACACCGTGTGTAGAGTTCGACTAAAATAAAAATTTCATTGGCTAATCTTCAAAGTCGAACATAATACTGATTATATAAAATTTCTCCTAGATCCTTCTGTCTAGAAGACAAAACAAAGTTTGAACTATAAAATACAAAACAAAATAAGATCTATGGTTTAATCAGATTGCTAAAAATGTTTACTTTTTGTAAAACATCTGATACCACTTCTCATTTATCATTAAAGTTCTATTAATAATGATCAGTAGATAATTTCACTAAATTAAATTTTTGTCTGATAAATTGTAAGATTATTTTGATAAACCTAAATCTAGTGTAAACATGAGAATTGATTGAGCTCAAATAAAATATGTTGCAAATTGTTTACATTCTCATAAGCCAATCTGTTCACCTACTAGCTAGTTTCCTACCTCCAGATGCATGATAGAATCATTTTATTTCTGTTACTGACATCTTTGTAGAATATCAGTAATCAGACTAGCCCAGTGAGCATGTTAAATCCTTTACTTTTATCCATATCAAAGTCTATAAGTACCTCAGTACCGTAACTCAAAATAAAATTTACTGCAGGACAGTTTTATTCATTAACTGTAGAATACTCTATGGAAGTGAGTAATGAATTAAGAGATATTGTATGATATTTATGGGTATATTGTCTTATAAGTCTATCAGCATATTTATGAGTAAAATGTTGATTATTTTCACCAGTAGTTTATGTTATTATATACATTATATATAGCTAATACCAATTAATATCTATGGTATAGGACAAATAACCCATTTTATTGTGAAAACATAGGCCTTGATCAACAATTGTAGTATGTAGAACAGCAACTCTTGATTTTCTTATTCTCTTTTATATTGTCTGTGTTTAAATATTTATCACAGGCCAGTATAATAAGATATGTTTGCTTCTGATGGCATGATCAGGAGTTCAGTAGACAAATAAAAAAGGTGAATCAATTTTTGAAATTGTGACGTGAGCACCTAAGATAATAAAACCACTTGTATTTCGCAAACTGTAAACTGTGTCAATATTTTGGAAAATTGTTTAGTGATCGTCTTAAATACACATGAACTGATTAATAAATTACTAACTTCATATATAAAACAAATTTTGGTGCATGATGTAATATTAATGTCTACGTACTAAAGGACAATATACAATTTAAAGGATCCGTAATAGGGATGTATTCAACAAAATAGTGTTGTACCATGTTGTACAAAGAAATTTGAAAAGGGACCAAACAAAGCATTTAAAATTAATTATTCACTGTAAATTATTTGTATTAAATTATATAATTGTTGTATTAATGAAAGAATTACAGTATGTTGTTTTTTTAAAAAAACACAATCTTAGTGTGTATGTAAAATAAACTAGGGTCATAATCATGTATATGTCATAGTATATTAAAATATATTCATAATATAATTAGAAGTTAGAAATAGATATAAATTCACATTTGTATTATAATAATCATATCACTATAGATAAATTTGTTTATTGTTATAGATACATTTTACGGCTAACAGTGGTTAGCTACTTGTGAATAGAGATAGAATTATTTGGAGATTGATAACATTTGATAAGCAATTTCAGGTAACAGTGTAATCGAATTTGTAATCAATTGTGATTTCACTCTAAAGCTTCCACCACCAGCCCTATAGTGAGTGAAGTTCTGGTATATGAGCGGTTATCCATGTACAAACCTAACCCCTCCCATGCTCCAATGAACCCAGTAAAGCTCTTGAGCGTGATTTGCATTTTTGAGATAATATCCAATTTCTCACAACTTAACTGAGATTTAACTGATATTCTTATTGGAAATTCAACTTTTTACAATATTATAGTTTGCAAGGTATTCCTATATAGCTCAAATCACACTCCGGGACTTCAGGTGAGTTCTCTGCTGCATGTATGCTATAACGCAATTGAAAATTCACTGGGTTTTTTTTTTACTATTGACGAACATAAACAAGGAATGTTGTTTATTGATTATAATTGTCAATGATAAATTCGATGAAAGAATCTGTATATTATACAAGTACATCTATGGGATATGGAGTATGTCAGTATATATATTATATAGGAAAATATGTGGCTAATTGTAGGTGGTAGACATGTTGAATTGGCTTTATATACCTTACATGACTCACACACTAATCTATAGAATAAAAACCACAACTAAATACAATGTGATGATGTACCATTGTATTGTTCATATTCACTAAATCTATCAAAAAAGTCTCAACTATTAAATTTTGTTATGAAAGAAATAAGAAACTCCTTTTTTGAGACCGTTATCATAGTTACAAATCTCTCATGTCAAATTTCAATGATCAGGTAATAAAATTTTTACATCACAATCAATTTAATAACATGTATCAAGTCACAAAAATATATCTTTTTCTAAATAATGTTTTTGTGTTGCAACAAAATGCACATAATATGCTTTTTTCATATTTTTCAAAAGAAATGTACTTTCATATTTGATTGTGATTAGTATAAGATGCGCATACAAATTAACCATTTATCTATTTCAATCATTATTTTTTTCTTGACAAAATGTAAAATGGCTTGTCGGAATCCCATTCATGACATAAACTAAAAGCAAATCTATTATTTAACACTGTCCAAACAAGGAATTAATGCATCATGAACTTATTATGACCTGAAGGGAGTCAACATTAATACAGGTCCATGAATGGGTAGTTTCTTGAACAAACATTCCTTTAGTATGGCTAGATTTGTTTTTGTGGTTTTGATGCATGGTGTTGAGATATATTCCACTTTTAGCCCAAATTTGAATTAAAATTAGTTAACAAGTTAGAAACAAAACTCAATAGAGCTTGAAACAAATTTATAACTTGCTGCCCCATCACTAAATGAAATGTCAAAAATTAAATCAACACTTTATTTTTGACAAAATTAAAGGGGTGTAGCACCTTTAAGAAAACTAAAGCAAGACTTCAAAATTTGTGTTAATTTTTGCATATAAAGAAAATTGGTCTCATATTTAAACTTTGGATATTATAAACAAGTTCAGAAAATAGTTATAACTAAATTTACCAGTTTGTATATATTCAAATGCCATCTGTGATCATTCATCATTGGTTGTCTAGAATCATAAATACTCATATATTATTATATAATTCTTTATATATATATATATCAACCTCTCAAATTAATCAAGTTGTGCGCATTTATTATAATACAAATATTTTCTAATATTTTATGTAAAATGACATTATCTCATAATTTGGATATATGGTGTATTCCATGTAGTGAGTTTTGTGGATTTTGGTGTGAATATGGATACTATTTTGGTGTGAATATGGATATTTATACTGTTTTGGTGTGAATATTATGGATATTTATACTGTTTTGGTGTGAATATGGATATTTATACTATTTAGGTGTGAATATGGATATTTATACTGTTTTGGTGTGAATATATGGATATACCAATTTAGTATTTATCTACCCGATCTCATCAGAATTACAAGTAGAAATTACTAAACAATACGGTTACTTAACTTCACTATTGAATCTTCTAGGATAGCCATGTATTTGGTCAATCTGATTAAAACACATATCTTATTTCGTTTCTTTTTTTTATATTCAAAATTTCGTTTTACTTGTCTTTACTACTAGGATCTGGAAGAGTTGCTATATAACCCGTGTTCTGGATGATGTGAGGGATTAACCAGTTGCACAGAACTGTGGGTAATCCACTATAAACATCAACGCTGATTGGTTAATCAAATATCTGACATCATTGGATCAAAAGCCACTTGTATGACCTCTGACACGGCCTCACACTACAACTGGTCAGATCTTCATGTAGTAGAGGCCATAATAAAACGAAACAAAATATAGATCTGTATTTTGATCAGATTGTGTAATTGGTTTAATGCAGATAATATCTTTTAAAGCCAAATAGATAATTGTCAGTTATAAAGCTGTTTTGTTATATTAGATTCAACACAGTATATATTGTTATTGTATTTTGTAGAACTGGTTGTATCATTAATTTTACTATGTTATGTCAAATTTTTACAGCTCAAGCAAGTAAAATGTCTTGTATGAAATCTATTGTATGACTTATCTTATTTTGTCCATGTTTGCTGGTAGGGGACGCCCTATGTATGTTAAAAGAACTTCTAACATTGCTGATTTTTGCCCTGTCGGTGTATATTATGAAGTGATATAGCCATCATGCTATTTTTACCCGAATCTTCATACACTCATCAGCCGCATGCTGAAGTGCCGTCATTTGCTGTTTAGAGGAGGGTGGGAGGTCATATAATTAGACATCTAAACTAGTGTCGTTTCTAGAGCAGATCTCAGAACCATTGAGTATTACATCACCAAACTTTCTACACACAAGGCCATAGTACTGAAATGGTACCTTATGGTGGATCTTGTTTATATGTTTGTCGCTATCTAGTATTAAAACAGTTTCAACAATACAAAGCCCAACCTCATTAAAATTAAACTCGCTGCAACAGAATGTTTCATTGACTAATGCCTCACATCAATCAAAATGCAGGTTATATAACAACTCCTCCAGATTCTAGTGTAGTAAAGACAAGTAACGAAATTTTGAACTATAAAAAATGAAACAAAATAGAATCTGTGTTTTGATCAAATTGTGCAAAGTCCAAACTCCAAAGTATAGTTAGTTTTTGCTTTAACAAACAAATTAGCATGGCAGCTGTGACTTTATAGAGGGAACTGTCAGTAGTGATAAATCAACAAACCAGCAGAATGTGCTACATTAGCTGCACTTCTTGCTCTGGTAAACACATGGCTGTACTAGCTGCACTTCTTGCTCTGGTATACTAGCTGCACTTCTTACTCTGATAAACACATGACTGTACTAGCTGCACGTCTTACTCTGGTAAACATATGGCTGCATGGGAATACAAATAAGAAAGTGGTTGGATCAAACTTATTATTTAACCATGTCCCTTGCTTTGTTTTTGTTTTCTGATAGACAGTTCCAGGGCAAATTGTATTTGAAGTTGAAACTATTGAAACTATTTTAATACTAGATAATGAATAAAATGTACAAATTCTGAAGCTGCTGGAGTTCAGTATTAACTATTGTAGTCGACAATGAATTCTGTACACTCTACCCATGACCATTTTAGAGTTTGTTGCTTGTTTGGTCCTTTGAGTTTATGTACAAAATTCTCTTCTGTAGAAATCTAGACTCCAAGTCAGAGAAAAGGTGAGATTTTTTTATGGAAATTCACCATATCACAACAAACACCCAGGGCCGGATTAACCATGGGGCACAGGCCCAGGGCCCCCCCACATTAGAGTTCCCCCCCACAAAAATCTCAGTTGCGTCCAGCCCCCTCCTCTAGAAATGCCATCATTTCATAGCACTCGCATGGATTGGTCCACTGAAATAACGCCAGAATGCGCTAATTTTGTGGCAGAATTTTATTTTTTTTCTGGGGGAGGTACTTCTAAATGGCTTCACACAAGTGCCTGAAATGCCAGGAAATCACGTTTCCGGCCTCCAATTTCTGAAAATTTTCGGGAGGTGGGGGGTCCCCGATCCCCATTGCAGGGCTTCGCGCCTTCGGCGCACACGGTGGCCGGCTTCACCGGCCACAGCCGGTGATCAGGGGCCCCCCACATGTTCCAGGCCCCAGGGCCCCCACCATGGTTAATCCGACACTGCAAACACCCAACTCTAGCCAAGTCAAGTGGCATGGTTTTGATCCTAAGCTTGCATATGCTAAAAAACCCTACACACAATTGAATTATTGAAATAATTGTACTGTATGTTAGTTCTGAAATGACCTGGTTTGTGTCAAGTGGATGTTAAACCCCATGTCTCCCTCAGACAACTGACTTTATTTCACTGTTTGATAATGACACAGATCTTATTACTCATAGGATCATAATAAACTAACACACACAGAAAACAAACAACTGAAAAGGAGGATGGAGAAATTTGGGATTATATCTTTTGAAACAGAATGCACATGAGTGTTGTGTGCAAAATGGGAGTGATAGAAATGTTTTCACCTACTCTTTTTTCTGAAATCTAACTATCCCAGTGAGCCCCACAAACTTCGACCCCGAAATATATCAACTGGCTTGATATTCCTGAAGGTTCTTCTTAGCCCCCTGATGAAATTTTACAGATGTGAAGAAAAAAATACAATTGCATTCATTTTAAATATATTTATTATAATATTGTTAAATACAAATGGTATTAATCTGTGTACTAATCAGCAGTATATATTAAATATATATTAGGATATGGCATGAGTAATTCAATTTACTTATATAATTATACTTAATATACACCTTGCACTTTTATCAATAAAGTAAATAAATTTTTATAATAAAACCCTTACCACTATTCTTGTATAACCTTTCAGTGATTTTATAATAGAAATATAGAATAGATAAACAAATATTACTAGATTTTATTTACAACACTTATAAGAAAACTAATTATATGATATAAATATGAATGTATATAATTACTCTTTATATGATAGAATGTTGGTACTTAAAATAGGACGGAATGTTATACAGTATACACTGGATGGAACAAACACAAAATACATTTACTAAAATAATAGTCAACAATAACAAAATATTGAATATTCTAAAATGAATATGTTAATAAATTAAAAATGGACGGATCTGTTGAACTAGTATCTGAAAGCTTTTCCTGAATTGCTTATACTGAACACATTGGACAGGACACATCTGATTGGCCCAATAAAAGACACAGTCCATGTGAGAATACTGGATAGTCAATCTGATTAATATCAGACGGACACACAATTACCATCAACCGAAATGTGCATTCTAAACATGTGACAACAGTACAATTTTAAAAAGGCCATTGATGGTACTTTCTGTATCGCTGGTTTTGATTGGTAGGTTGATCTGGAGTCAACTAATCACAATCTGTGCAGCAAAGTAAACAACTGAAAATAAAACAAAAAGAAATACCCGGTAGTAAATTCAGCTGAATTACACTATAAAATCAGGTTTTCATCCCCCCGCACCCCCCCCCCCCCCAAGAAAAAACAACCCAAAATTTATATTTGACTTTCAATTTCAAGAAATAATCCTAAAATACTTGATACTCTGTAATTAATCTATAGCAATCTATAACAGGCATTATTTTAACAAGAACCACATAAGTAAAATTAATACTTAAATCATACTTTTAACAATACAATAATTTAACAAAATTGATATCACAGTTCAATATAAAAGCCTTTAAAATGATATTAACACAGTCACATAAATATATAATTATTATACCTATGCCAACAATCAATACATGTAAATGTCAATTTTACACATCAAACATTGAAATTGACAGAATTATAGCATGTGACTTACTTTATGTTAATAACATCAAGATTTATATTAGAATATGGTCAATACATGTCCCTGTATCCTTAATATAAAACATCAACATAATAACAATATAAAAATTATATATACAATATTATCACAGATATTTGGGAAAGAAATTATAATACAAATACTGGTAAATAGATCTACATAAACATATCTGAAACTACACTTTGAGACAGTGACTTTGGGGTGTTGTTAGACAACTAATGGAATCTACAGGAGTTTCTAAAGGTCATTCTGTCCAAAAAATTCTTTATAAAATGTTGTGATCCAAAAGCAATTTTGATTTCCATATCTTTTTTGTTTGTTTTTCTATCCCATTACACTGAGAATAAAGTTTTGTACAAGCACTAAAATCAATATTGGTATATACCTTGGTGAGGCAAACTTTTATACAAGTTACTCACCAAAATCAATATATGGTTGGCCAACACATGACAGTTTACTTAAACAGGCTCTGTCAGATATAACCATGATGCCATTTACCCTACGAAAATCAAACTGAACTCAGCATTGAACTGGAACCATTCCACAAAATTGGTGTTAGTGTGAACCATAACCGGCCCAACAACATGAAGTAGTCTCGATCCCAGATCAAATACAGTTCAGCTAAGATTCTGGTAGTGTCCTGGTAAATGGAAACTGAGCCAGGTCTAGTTATTTCAGTACATGTACATGTATGCACATCTAGGACAGCAATAGCATATAACTAGCTGTTTATGCCTAATATATATGACAAATAACCAGCTATGTCTACCTAATATGATTTATTCATGAATCGTATCACCACTTTCTTTTTAAAATGGTGGTCCTCCTCTAGAATTCATTATTCCTTTGAGCACAATACTGATCACATTAACACAAATTCAATTTAATCCAAGAAATTTTCAATCATTTTCCTGTTAATCGCTAATCACAGTGGTATTCAGTATACCACACACACAAGCAAAGCTAACAATACTTTTATTTTGCACCAGTTCAAAGTCAAATCATATTTTAATTTTTAGAACAGCAACCTTCATTATTCTTCAAGATGTTTGTGTCTTTTTTCCTTTGCTTTTTGAAAACTGTCAAAATTAATTAGAGCTTGTTTTTCCATTTCTTGAACACGCTCTCGTCTTTCTTTTTCAATGGTGTGATTATCAGGTATGGCTTTCATGTCCCCACCGTACATGACCCATGGATGACTGATGACATCAATAGAAGAATACCTCTTAGCTCTATCAACAACTAATAGATGTTCTATCAAATTTTTGGCAACTGAAAATAAAGGAAAATAATGTCTGTGAATAGTTTTAAATGTGAAACTGGTAAACTTTTATGAATAGAAATGTGCTATTATGAAGCACTTCAGAGAGAGAGAAAAATGGGGTTTAACGTCCACTCGACACAAACTAGGTCATTTCAGGACTAACATATGGTTCAATTTTATTCCCATAATTCGCTTGCGTAGGGGTCTTTAGCAGTGGGAGGAAACCGGAGGACCTGGAGAAAACCCACGAGGTTGGACAGGCGACCCTACTCCTTGTCACGTACAACCTGGGAATCGAAACCACGCTAGTTGACTCAATGACAGACTTTACGATACAGTGTGCATGTGCTAACCATTCTGCCATCCAATGCCCCATGAAGCACTTGAAGGCAAGGCAATCATCCAATATCCATATTAACAAAGACAATAGATAGACTGTAAAAGCTGATATTTACCAAGCTTGAGAACCTGCACATCTATTGGATTGGCACTTACAGCTAAATTAGTATTTTATGGAATAGAAATCAGATGTTAGTTAAAAATACTTACAATTTGATGTATTATCCCAGTAAGGACTTATAAACTCATATTCTCCAGCTTTGATTAAATTAAACAATTCTGTTTGATTTCTGTCAGGACTACGAAATGGTGGAAATCCACACAATAATATATACATAATAACACCTACTGCCCACATATCTACTTCTAAACTATAACCTGAAATAACAATTATTATTTTTTATATTGATACACATTTTCTCTTTGACATCAGGGAAAGACAGACAGAGAGAGAGAGAGAGAGAGAGAGAGAGAGGTTTAATCCACTTGACACAAGCTAGGTCATTTCCAATGGTTAGCAGTGCAGCTGAATCATAGGATCTGTTATTGAGTCTACTGGTGTGGTTTCAATACCCCAATTGTATGTGACAAGGAGTAGGGTTGCCTGTCTAACCGCATGGGTTTTCTCTGGGTCCTCCGGTTTCCTCCCACTGCTAAAGACCACTACGTTCAAGTTAATTATTGAAATAAAATTGAACCATATGTTAGTCCCGAAATGACCTAGTTTGTGTCAAGTGGATGTTAAACCCTATTGTCTCTCCCTCGAGCTGTGTCCTTAAATAAAACAAATTATCTCTGTATTCCCGTCAGGTACATACCGGTAGGACAGTGCAATGTAATTTTAATGTAGCATGAACATTCTGTATGAGATATGATTTCTTATGATAGGTAAGAACATGACAGAATGTTCTGGCATGTTCTGTGTCCTGTGACATGGGTAATGAAATCAAAGCAAAGAAATCAGACACACTCTCCCACCCTGATACATTCACATTTAAAACATTTTTTTTTTCTGTGCATTTGAGATAAGCTACCATCCCATAATGTGACCAGTTCTGATAAATTACTAAAATATCACTCCAAAAAAGACCATCTGCACTTCTAGATGACAAATTTCTAGATTTTTAATTTTTAGTTTGACAAATTTTTTTACAAAACAGGATTAAACCTGGCATCTCAAAAAAGGGTAATGGGACTAGAACCATCCTTGAATCTTCTCATATCATATAAACAGGTTAATAACTTTTATTAATAACTTCAAGTCTCAAATAATCACAATATAAACAGAATTTTATGTCATCCTATGTCCAGAAATACCTTGTTTAAGAAACCTCACCCGATGTGTTGCTTAGCAACCAGACTTACGGCCATGACTAATATGTTGGCTGATAATATTAACCTTTATTCTGTCAATACCACTCTATATTTAAATGTCATTGTGTAATTTGAATCAATTATAATTAGAAGATTAATATTACATTATTGCTCAAAGTGATACATCAACGTAGGTCAAGGTGATCGTAAAGTCATAAGTATCGGTTAATAATTTAACAATAGGCCTATGTAATTAAATGATGCATATGAAACATTATGGTTTACTTATTTTTTGAAATGATTACTACAAACAAAGCTTACATGAAAGGTAATGAATAACAAATATAAATGAAAGAAATGAAATGAAATGGGGTTTAACATCCTACTGTTCTGCTCCGAACTGGGCTAATGAAGACGGGCATGTGCCATGCAGTGTGCTATGAGGGAAATTTTGCCCGAACAGCGACACTACGGGCTACTCTTATATTGAATTCCAACTGTCAAAGGATCTTTTACATGCATGCCAATGTGTACACGGGTCCTCGTTTTTTTGTCCCATCCAGACGACTAGACAGCTGTCCTTGTCGGGCTCTCACTCCTGCATCACTGACAAGGGGGAACCACGCTGGAAAATCTGGATGAACTTTCTCGGCCAATGCAGGGATCTAACACCCGACCTCCAGGCTAGAGAGCCAGCGTCTTACCCACCATGACCCCCCAAATATAAATGTCTTAGAGTTAGAGTATAATGCATTACCATGGCAACCTGCAATGACATCATAGCTAATCTCATCGTTAGTTTAGTTTCAAAGTGGAGTTCAAAAGAAATGTAGAAAAGCTTTACTATGACACTGGTGTTTACCCATAAGAAACCATATTTGCCAATAAGAAATGTAATTTACCAATATGAAATGTAATTTACCAATAAGACATGTTATTTACCAATAAGACATGTAATTTACCAATAATAAATAAATAAATAAAATATTATTTATCATCAAAGACAGTATAATTAGAAACAGTATTTACCTATCTAAGACAGTATAATTAGAAACAGTATTTACCTATCTCAGACAGTATTTCTGGTGCCACATAAGTAGGTGTTCCACAAACAGTATAAATTAAATCCTGTACTTCCATAGCTAATCCAAAATCAGCTAGTTTTAAAGATATGGCACCATTTTTACTCCTATGAACCTACAAGTTAGATAATACTTATACATAGCAATCTAGCTACCGGGTATGAAAAAGAGAGGGAGAGAAATGGGGTTTAACATCCACTCGACACATAATTCAATTTTATTTCAATAATTCACTTGCGCGTAGGGAGGAAACCAGAGGACCCGGAGAAAACCCAGGTGACCCTACTCCTTGTCACGTTCAACTGGGGAATCGAAACCACACCAGTTGACTCAATGACTGACCTTTTGATACAGCGCACACATGTAACCATTCGGCCATCCAACACCCCTAATGTTATGAAGGCTGCTTTATTAATTAACACATGTACATGACACTGGAGAATACGTTTTTATATGCCTACATATTCAGAGTTATCCTCCCCATTCCAATAGAGGCTATAGCTTTTAACAGATTTTTTTCCAATTTGATTGAAGCATTCAGACTATGATGAGTTTTCCTTGTTCTCTGTCCATCTCTTAGAAAATGTGGGTGTATCTTGCATGGCAACAGCTTGTTAAAAAAAAACATTTTATACACAGTTATCTCAACCTTAGAAATATGGTATTAGTAAGTTAGTGGACTGACCACTAAACTGTCATAAACCATTATTTAGATTTACTTACTATCAAATGTTGTTTAAATTAAAATTAAACAAAAGCATTATTTGGAAAATGACAATATATAGAACAGGTTTCTTAGATAAGGTTTTGATTTCGTCTAACAACTACAAAAACACAATGAAATTGATTTTGTACAACTTGGAGGTTAAGTATGTATTAGGGACTTACTAATAAATTTTCCGGTTTTAAATCTCTATGTACAATGTTTCGAGAATGAAGATAAAACAGGGCATTACATAAATCTTTCACCATTTTGGAAGCATCTATTTCATTAAACTTAACACTCTGTGTGATGGCATCAAATAAATCACCTCCCTGAAAAGAGAATTAAACATGTCTTAAATAAAATGAATGGGATTTAATGTCTCATCACGGTTTTACCTTTTTTTTAAACATCTGTTATGTAGACTGTAATCAATCATGGTTTAATGTTCTGTTCCATTTGAGTGTCCAGAAAACTACAACACATTGGCTAATAGGACATTAATCTGATTAATTACTGAAACTTGTTTACCATGATATCTATATATATATTTGTGACTGTCGTTTGTCTGTCTGTCTGTCTTTCTGTTCGGGGTTGGCGGCTACACTAGGTCTGCCCCGAATCTGAAATTTGGGGTATAAGGTTACCTCGGACCGGGGAGTAACATAGGCCAGGTGGCGTTAGTCCACCACTTCCGGTTTCGGAGTTATTACCCCCGAGCAAAGCCGGTCTGTTCGGGGTTGGCGGCTACACTAGGTCTGCACAGAGTCTGAAATTTGAGGTATAGGGGTAGCTCGGACCGGGGAGTAGCATAGTCTACCACTTCTGGTTTCGGAGTTATGACACCCGAACGAAGTCTGTCTGTTCGGGGTTGGCGGCTACATCGGGGTTGGCGGCTACATCTGCCCCGAGTCTGAAATTTGGGGTATAGGGGTAGCTTGGACCAGGGAGTAATATAGGCCAGGTGGCGTTAGTCTACCACTTCCGGTTTTGGAGTTATGACCCCGAGCGAAGCCGGTCTGTTCGGGGTTGGCGGCTACACTAGGTCTGCCCCGAGTCTGAAATTTGGGGTATAGGGGTAGCTCAGACCGGGGAGTAGCATAGGCCAGGTGGCGTTAGTCTACCACTTCCGGTTTCGGAGTTTGACTCCCGAGCGAAGCCGGGTATCCTGCTAGTCATGATATATCCTATGACTTAATGAAACTTGAAATACATGTTTATAACCCAAAGATATTGGTTCCTTCCTATGACTTAATGAAACTTGAAATACACGTTTATAACCCAAAGATATTGGTTACTTCCGATATTCGCGCATATCGGATCGTAAATTCCTGAATTATGGCCCTTGATTGAACAAAAAAATCACGTTTTTAGCCTAGGTCGCAATTTTTATCTGATTTAAGAAAAAACGTGTGAATATATCACCATTTCACACTAAGATTTTGGTTCCTTTTGATAATCGCGGATACCCAAACTTAACTTCCTGGATTATGGCCTCAGATTGTTAGAAAAATCGCATTTTTAGCTTGCAGATTCTCTAGAGGTCACAATTTTTTTCCGATTTTAAAAACCATTTAAATACATCACCATTCCACCATAATGAAGGTTGAAATCAAATTGCAGGAAAATCGAAATGAATCTGCCCGACAAAATGGCCGCTCTTTGTACGCAAATTTTGTAGAAGTGTGTAATACGAAGGTTGTGGACCCTCTAGTCTAGAGGTCACAATTTTTATCTGATTTTGATGAAACTTAAAACATATCTTTATATCCCAAAGATCTCAGTTTTTTTGATATTTGCACATTTCAGGCAATAGCTTTCTGGATTATTGCCACTGATTGTACAAAATATCGCGTTTGTTTTTAGGCGTATGTGGGCGTATGCTGCCTAGCACCCGCTGGTTGAACTGGCCATGACTGATAGCAATGAATTATTTGATGGATAAGGATCACAAGGGAATAGTATCAGAAAATGTCTATCCTGTCCAACTTTTTTCTAATTACCCAATTTGTCATATATAGAACGGAAGTGAGATGGACTTGAAATAAAGATCAAATGTTCTGTTAACTAATCACGACACTCGCAACTGGGGGCTCTTAACCCAGGGATCAGTATAGAGCATAGCAGGGAGGGGGGGGGGGGGGTGTCTGAAAGTCTATTGTTCTTACTTAAAATAAAATTACACAACCTGGAGATTAGAAAGATAATAATTAAACATGTTCAAATTCTGTGTTGAAGTCAGAATTTAAGGGCTCTTTCTGAAAATTATTATAGCCATTTTCAATTAAACTTTCTGAATCTTAAAAAACACATTTCTGACATACAAACTTTAAAAACACTATGGCCATACATACTGCATCAGTAAGGCATAATATCTCAAAAAGGGTAGCATTTTACGACCTACCACTTTATATAGGCAAATCAACTTTTTAAATTCCTGTCTGCATCTTTTACGTGTTACATAAATCATTTTGGGGTCATCGACTTTCCAATATTCAAGTCAATATATTCATTCAGGAAGAGTGACAATCATGGTGAAATGTCAAAATATAAGATCCCTTTATAAAATTATTACAGGCTGAAATATTTACATGGAAGAATATAGGCCTGTTGGAAATTGTCCAAACCTAATCTAAATTTAATCCTTACATGTATATATTTTATAAGTTAATCTTTCCTTACAAATACATGGCCCAAACAGCCCGAACACATTAATCTCGATAATAAACACACGTCAAATACAAGGTTAATACGTCCAATATCACAGAGTCAAATAAAACTATAATGATAGACACTTGAATAAAAATCCAATAATCTTTAATATATGGGTGGGACAATTTCATACCTATCTTTTATTTTTATAAATGTACCCTAGTTTCATTTGATAATTTACATTAAATGTCAAGTATTAACAATTAAATCTGTATGTCAATGTTCCCCACAAAGGTATTCAAGAATAGTCAATGCGCTTCCATAATGTGTTTTCAAAGCATAGTGTATGTTGAAGGAATGTAATTTGTTACAACTCTTAAAACAAGCTCACAAAATAATTAACAACTCAACCGGTATTTTCTAATTCAAAACAGTGAATGTTAACAACAAATGCAATTTATTATTGTTTAAACTTCAAATTTTTGCATTCAAGTTGAAGAAAAAGTATTTCATGGAACTGAACAAATGTCCTATCCATTAACGCAATTGGTGTGTTCTCTGTGTCAACCTTGGCATATCCTTGCATCTTCCACATTTTATACCAAATGTCTGCACCATAAAATCATGATTTTCAACATTGTAATTTTGTTTTTTTAAATAACAATCATGGTGATCTGATGTTGTTACATTCAGAATTTTTACTTTTTAGATTTATAAAATTGCTGCAATTTTATTGCATCTCAGTATATTAACTGCCAACATAACTACCAGTATATCTTATATGGCAAGAGTTAAAATGATAACAGAAAAAAACAAATGGCTTACCTTTACCAGTTCCATGACTAAATAAATTCTATCTTTAGTTTCAAATTCTTCGTATAATTTAACAATATTATAATGATTACATTCCTTCATGATGTCAATTTCATTTTCCACCATATGTTCTTTTCCTTTTAATTTACTTTTATCAATAACTTTAATTCCAAATTCTTGACCCGTACTTTTCAATTTACTTTGTTTAACAACAGCGAAATTCCCATCCCCTAATATTCTTCCTAGTTCATATTTTGAGGTCACATATTCATCTTTACTAACTTGGCGTTCAAATTTTTGTCTTCTGATAACCTTGATCTTGGATCTACGAGTTGGTCTCTCTTTTTCGTTCTCTTTCATTTTTTCCACTGTTTTTTCTTGATCTTTTTTCTCTTTAACATCATTTTTATCAGTTTCGGATTTTTCCTTTATCTCTTTTGAGTCTTTAGTTTCCTTTGAATCTTTAGTTTCCTTTGAATCTTTAATTTCTTTTGGATCTTTGTTTTCTTTTGGATCTTTGTTTTCTTTTGGATCTTTATTTTCTTTTGGATCTTTGTTTTCTTTAGCCAATAATTTTGTGTTCGTTTGGTCAATGCTGTCTGTTGTCTCAATATCTGATTCTTTCTTTGTTGGTTGTTTTTCTATTTCTGGTATGGCTTTCTCTTGCTCTTCTTTATTCTCTTTTTCTTCTTTCTCTTTTTTCAATGCTTCTCTTTGAGCCTCCTCTTGTCGCTTTCTCTCTGCTTTTTCAGCCTTCATGCGATTTTCCTCCTCTTCAAGTTTTAACCGTCTTTCTTCCTGCTCTTTCTTGATGTGATCTTGCTTTCTTCTTTCTTCTGCTTGTTCTTTTAATCGCCGACTTTCTTCTTTTCTTCGTCGTTTAGCATCTTCTTTAGCTTTAACCGGATCCAAATGTTCTAATGGCACTAGCCCTTGTTTTCTTTTTTCTTCATCCAATGCTCTTTTCTCTGATTCACGCATCTTTTCCATTCTTCTTCGCTGCTTCGACTCCTGGACACCAGCTTTAGATGGTGAATAAAAGGCATTTTGGTTATCCTGTGTTGTATCCTTACTGTGTCTGCTACTTAAATCATGTATATTAGAATCTGAGTCTCGGTAAGAATCTACAAAGCCACTGTCTCGTTTATCCGTTCCCGGTTGAACCACTTCTGCTTTTGCTTGTCTTAACTTCTGGTATTTGTCCCAACTCTTCATTATACTTTTAATCTGTGCGCTATCAGGATAGAAGTCTTCAACAATTTGCCTGACCTCTGTGTCAGTAAAAGTCTCCTCACCAAACCCAATGAACACATTATCGTGACGAAAAAAGTCGGATACACTTTGCACTTGCTTTCCTCTTATGGTATACAGTTTTTTAATTCCCTGCTGTCGGCCTTTAGCTGTAAAGGCTTCCGAAATATCACTCATTAGCTGTTCATAAGATTGAACACTTCTACGATTGAGAAGAATTTTCACATTATTCCGAGAGGCACCATTTCGAACAATAGTAATAACTTTAGGTTTACTGGCATAGTTTTCAGAATTTGATAAATTTTTTGATGATATGCCCAGTTTTCCCGGCCATCTCTTTGTTGCATATGATCCATTTGTGCGAAAATAACGGCCTGGAGCAAATGCATTATTGGAATAACCTTGATATTTGTAACTGTCCTGGGGATCCCCATTAAAATCAAGATGAGGATTTTTAAGTGGTTTACCTGAAAAAATAAAATGAAAATTCATGAGAAAGAGAGAGAGAGAGAGATAGAGGGAGGGAGAGAGAGATAGAGGGAGAGAGAGAGCTGGGGTTCAACATCCGGTCGTCCACTCGACACAAAATAGGTCATATTTCGGGACTAACATATGGTTCAATTTTATTTAAATAATTTGCTTGCGTGTAGGGGTCTTTAGTAGTGGGAGGAAACCGGAGGACCCAGACAAAACACATGGGGTTGGACAGACGACCCTATTCCTTGTCACATACAACCGGGGAATCGAAACCATGCCAGTTGACTCATGATCAATGACAGACCTTATCATACAGCGTGCACATACTAACCATTCAGCCAACCAATCCCCCCCCCCCAATGAGATTCAACACCTATTCCTTTACCAATTTGCTTTAAAAGATGTATTATTGAAGTGCTCAATCTGTGTATTACAGGTCTGTTATATAAATGTTATATAAATTACCAATCGGGCATCTATTCAAATGACAAGGTCATAATCAACTAGACAGTTGAATGGCTGAGATAATGATTGGATAAGACAGTATGCCATAATTTTGTAAACAGATCAAATGGAAAATGAAACTATGCTTAGTAACATTGCTACAATAATATTATTGTAGCAATGATACTTGACAATCAAGATTATGTAGACTATTTGTTGTCAACCAGCGGCTGCCAGGCATGATACGCCCACATTTTGCAAGAAATGGATAGTAGTACAAACTAAACAATAAGCGATTTTTCGTACAATCAAGGGTCATAATTCAGGAAGTTACAATCCAATATGCCCGAATATCGACGAGAACCAAGATCTTTGGGTTATAAAGATATATTTTAAGTTGGATCAAAATTGTGACTTCTAGAGGGTCCACAAACTTGATATACCATATATTTACACTATTAGCATACGAGGGGCGGCCATTTTGTCTGGCTGTTTTGGTCCAATTTTCACGAAATTCAAACTCAAGCATCATTACAGTGTAACGGTTATATATTCAAACGTTGTTTTTAAATCGAATAATAATTGTGACCTCTATTGGGACCACAAGCTAAAAACATGATGGGACCACAAGCTAAAAACATGATTTTTCGTACAATCAGGGGCCATAATTCAGGAATTTACCATCCGATATGCGCAAATATCAACAGGAACCAAGATCTTTGGGTTATAAACATGCATTTCAAGTTTCATCAAAATCAGATGAAAATTGTGACCTCTAGAGTGTCCACAAGCTAAAACGTGATTTTTCGTACAATCAAAGGCCATAATCCATGAAGTTATGGTCCAATATATGCCAATATCGAACAGGAACCGAGATCTTTGGGAGATAGACCTATATTTTAAGTTTCGTCAAAATCAAATAAAAATTGTGGACGGACGGACAGGGGCACAACAACAATATACATCCACATGAAAATGTGGGCATATAAAAATTCAAACCTTTATAACTTCACTCAGAATAAAGGAATCTGACTGTAATATAATATAACATCGGTGAAGTGTCAAAAGGGTGTATCTGAGAAAATTAGTCAAATACACCTTTTTGCATTTTTAAAATCTCCCATTTCTGTCTAAGCTGTGTATCTCTACGCCAATTAGAACTGTTCTGGGTATCATGTGTCCAAATGTTGTACCTTGATTTGTGGAAATTTTGAAATGCAAAAGGTTCCATTTCTTAATCTTTAGAAATTTAGATACACCCTTTTGACACTTCACCGAAGATAAGTATTGTAACTATGGCACTTGACAGTCAAGATTATATAGACTACATGTTGTCAAAAATTCAAATATTTATAACTTTGCTTAGAATAAAGCAATTTAACTGATATATGTTTTTCATGATCTATTTTAATCTATTATATCAGCCACTCTTTATCTAAATACTAACATAATCTAACTAATTAAAGTCACACTTTATTGAAATGTATACAATAGGGATAAATACAAATATTTTAGTTCCAAAAAGCAATCTTGAAGATGTGAGAAATGCAAAATTGCTAAAGCACAATTTTAACTACAGTAAGGGTAAGACTGTGTAAATGGACAAGAATATGTTCGAGGATATTACACTGACTAATTCTCAAATACAATCAAAAAAACACATCTTACTTAAACGCTGCAGCTTTATAAAATAAAGATCGGGCTTGTTTACTTGGTGCACTACTTTCACTCTCTCATTTTTACGCTGTGTTTGAATATAGGGACTAGAAAATATTTCCGGTAATCTAGACATCTTGAAAATCTTTTCAAGTTACTTCACACTCGAAGTAGATCCAATACACAACCACAATATTTGTTATATTGCACATCAGATGATTAGCGTATTGCAATAACTAACTACATGGCCTACAATATCCTTCAACGAACTGCATGACTAACACTTAGAATTATTTTTGAACAACTAATATAAATTACTGATTTAACTTCATATATATAATTTTTATCAACTAAATACGTAATGATATCAACATTATGATGATCCTATTCATAAACTGTTTGTTAGACACCCTTTTATAAAGAGGCTAAACACCTCCAATATAGAATTTCAAACCAACATATTCAGGATTTAGTTGTCAATGACCAAATAGAAAATACTAACAGGGTTAGAGATTAATCTTGAATAATAACTATTTGGTATGAATTATAATTCACTCATAAGAATCACTAATAGCCTGTCAACAATGGAAATTCATTTACGGCAATAGTACAATTGTGGGTTGAGTTCTTACTACAAGACATATTGATGTATTCGTGACATGATTACAAATAGATTCTATTGATATGGCCCCCCCTAGGATGTATGTACATAATATGATTTTTTTATGTTCCATTGTACCTATATTTATGGTTTTAAATGATTGAAAAATGTTGCGTACTTGAAGAACAGACATTGGTGAGTGACAGGTTCAATATAAATGTTTATAGAAAAGATCAACATGTTAATTTTAAGAAGCTTAAATAAGTCACGGTTTTAGACATTATATTCAAATAAATGAAATAAAATGCGGTTTGATGTTTTCTTTTTTTGCAGCCATCAAGATAATGAAGGTGGGCATGCACCATGCAGAGTGCTATGATGGACATTTTGACTTGATAGTGGCATTTCCTTTTCCTGTTTGTTGAATTCTAGCTAATTAACCCTTACTTTCATTTAATTTAATAACATAATTGTTCTAATGATCAGAAAAATAAAACTATAGGCATAAAATTTTGATTAAACTTTTAATTAGTGAAATAATATAATGAATTAAACTGTGGCTTTCTAACATTAAATCCAGAGGAATCTTCTTACAAACAACCATGGCTAATTAAAACCCAAACATGTTTCAGCCAGTTCTGAGCATACATTTATGTTTCTGTTATTAATTATTTGTTATGTCAATTTGATTTATATAATTTGATTCTAGACAAACAATATTCTGATGATGTTCAGCTGATGATCAGTTATCCATAATGGCTACTAGGCTGAAGTTTTGTAGACCAGGAGGCCTGTTGTTGGACTGGAAAAATTATTTGATTTGATATCAAAATATACTAAATGTGGACGTGTATTTATCAGATCTTATATATACATAGCTGTATTAAACTATATTTCTATTCAATTATCTAATACATGGGTAATATGAGTGGTTAATAGGATTTTTTATTGAGATATTGATTAGGAAGACCAATAACAATGTTAAAAGGCTCCATTTACAAAAGATATTCAAGCAAGTGTAGCGGTCAAACTCAATATGAACATAAATAGATTGTATAGATATAGAATATGGGTTTCTAGCTTTTACTTATTGATAATAGATCAATATTATAGTTAGCTCCACTGATAACCACAGAGTAATAATAATTATAGCATGTTTATTACAATCAATCAACTACCTAGGTATGTAGACATCGAATATATTATAATGCTATCAACTCAAATGGATTTAACCTTGAAGAATCATGGTTGAAGGAAAGTTCAGGTGTTTTATTTTATAAATCTTTAATGGATATCAGATTTATTTTACAGAGCAGATCAAGGTTAAATGAGTGCATTATAAATTAAAGGGTGGGATAAAGAAATACTGGTAACCGGTTGAGCGATCTGGAAATGGCTTTTATAGTCATGTAAATCTTTGAACATGTTCACCTCCAATCTTTCATTGAGTGACATGACACAGGTCTATTCGAAACATTACTAAGCCGAAATTAAGAAACAGTAACAACTGTATAGGGATCATTACCTATGCTTTATAGCCACATATACAATCCTTTAAAGTAAACCAACAATGCTAGATCAGTTTGACAAAGCACAACAAGAAAAAGGGAGAGTGATTTAAACATGCACTTATGTTTAACTCAGTCATTTTGGAACTAACACAGTTTATTTATAATTCAATAATTTGTGTTTTGTGCAAGAAATCAGTAATACATAGAAAATAACATGTCCACTAAAACTATTCTATACCAGAAGTCCTTAGACAAACTTTTTTTTATCTATACCATATCCCAGTGGTCTGCAATTTTTAAAATCACATGAGGCTAAATATATTACAATAAAGAAGAAACATCCCTACAAAGTTTTTTATCTATACTATATATGTCCCATTGATCTGCAATTTCTGAAATCACCTGAGACTAAATATATTAAAATATAGAAGAAAGAAGATACATCTCTTGAAACCTTATCTTTTACATCAATGAAACATTCATAAGCTAATAATCGATACTAAGAATTTCCATGAGGAGAACAGCATTGACATTTAAATGAAATGAAATGGGGTTTAACGTCCTACTGTTCTGCTCCTAAACTGGGCTAATGAAGACAGGCATACGCCATACAGTGTGCTATGTGGGAAATTTTGCCCGGGCAGCGGCGCTACGGCCTACTTCCAACTGGCAAGGGATCTTTTATGTGCACGCCAATATGTACACAGGACCTCAATTTTTCGTCCCATCCGAACGACTAGACAGCTGTTCTTGTCAGGCCCTCTGTCCTGCATCACTGACCAGGGGAAACCACGCCGGAAAACCTGGATGAACTTTCTCGACCAATGCAGGGATCGAACACCCCCGACAACCAGCGTCTTACCCACTTAGCCTTGACATTTAAATTAAGTATTTCAATTTAAGCCGACATATTCATGCAAATGGAAGAGAGCAATGGATAGGATAAATCTAAAAGATTGTGTGCCAGACCAAATCTCGATGCTTAATTCCACTAATTTGCAAACTGTTCAGTGCTTAGCGTACTATAATAAATTGAGAACTTAAATACAGAAGGAAATAACAAAGTATTTATAAGGAAATAAAATGAAGTGGGATTTAACATCTTACTTTTCTGCACCAACTGACCCCGAGTTCACAGAGCAATCTCAGAATTAAAATTAAGAATTTACTCAAAACTGTTCACCATATTCTAACTAAAATATAGCCCTTTGTAAAACTATGTGCAAAGTTTTGTGTTTCTGGATTAAAGATATTTTTCATAAACAGTAATTGAGAGTTGAGTAAATTCTTAAAGATGGGTTCCCAGAAAAGTATTTATCGGGTGGTTATTTCCAATAAAAGTATGGCAATTTTGGTATATATGGAATGTAGAGATATCCAATCTTACTAGAAAAATACTGGATTCCCCGAAAAACACTCATGGAGCGTATACAGGACAAAAATGTAAGGGTTCCCCTAATCAACAGCCCGACGATTATGACCTTCTGCACGCACGATGTCAAAGGTCACAAGCGAACATTGAGCGCTTGATGTACAAGTTGATAAACTTTATGAAGAGTTAGACGTACAATACTTTCTGAGATAAAAATGACGGAAAAAGACGTGGGTAGTGGATAATCCGAGAATTTAATTAGGATTCGATATTTGTAATAAATAGTAAGCGATTAAAGACAACATCGTCTTATGTATGCAATGATTTCTCCTCTGACTCCCAAGACGTTTGATCGAATTTTAATAGCAGGGCATTCCTTCGCAATTACAATGTTTGAGAAGGATTTGAAGCATAATTATGACAAATTAATTAGTTTGAATATGTTTTTGGTCCATATATACCATTAAATCACCCAATTTGTACGCGGGAACCCATCTTTAACTTAAGTCTGAGAATGCTTTGCAAACTCGCCCGGATAATAAAGATGAGCATCTACCATGCAGTGTGCTATGACAATGAGGGAACTATTGCATGGACAGCGGCACTATAGTCCAAATCCAACTGTCAAGGATTCTTTTAAGCACTTGCCAACATGTACTCGGGGCCTTGACTTTTTTTGTCCCATCCATTTATAGAGTTAACTAAAGTACATGTGAGGACTGTCAGACAGGGGTGACAAAATACGATCATATTTCCTTTTACCTGAATCCAAAATCAATCATATTCATTTTAATCTAAACATTCTAAATAAATGGTATCTAGTGCATAATTCTTGTCTTTTCATACCAATAAGGAATATTGTTTATTTAAAGATGGTGACTGATCTAAAGATTCCATCAGAACAATAGAAGTTCTGTATTCACTGATTATTAATTGATTTTTCTTCTCGTTGTCAAAGTGACTTATAACTAATAGAACTATGTTTATCTTCACTAATAGTTACCAGACTAAGCTTTTTATCTTGATAACAAACAGGCCATTTAAAGATCACTTTTTAAGTATTGCATAATCAGTGGCATAACAGGGTCAGTTGAGAGGTGCAAGTGTGAAGGTGCAAATTCTCCTCTGAGCATAACTACAGTAGAAACATCACCGAAAGTAACAATTTTAAGGCATGTCATCAATGTTCAAGAAATGAAATGCAATGGTGTTAAATGGCCTTCTTTTCTGTACCTACCAGGCTACGCTTATGAATGCAGACATAAGCCATGCCATGTGCCATGAAGATAATTGCACCCATATGTCAAACCCCATTTCCCTTCATCATTCATTTGTTATCAAAATTTTGTAGGGAAAATAGGAATTGCAATCATGTCTTTACTTGACCTAGAGCTGGGGTTTAAAGTCCACTCGACACTAGGTCATTTCAGAACTAACATATGGTACCATTTTATTTCAATAATTTGTTTGTGCATAAAGGTGTCTTTATAGTAGAAATAAACAGTAGGACACTATGAAAGCCCCTTGAGGTTGGCCAGGTGACCCTACTCCTTGTTTTTACAACCGGGAAATCGAAACCACGCCAATTGACTAATTGACAGAACTTATGACACAACACAAACCATTCGGCCATCGCCCCCCCCCCCCCACATACACACACAAGCTGAAAACGCAATTTTCTGTACAATCAGGGGCCATAATCCAGGAAGTTACAGTCTGATATGTGCAAATAGCGACAGGAACCAAGATCTTTGGGACATAAACATATATTTTAAGTTTCATCAAAATCTGATAAAAATTGTGATTTCTAGAGGGTTCACAATCATGGTATTACATACATTTACACTATTTGGGATCAAAACCACGCCACTTGACTTGATGACAGACCTTATGATTGACCCATTGACCACACCTTCCCCTACCCATTGAACAAAGAGAAATGAATAGTGAGAATATTGCGATGTGGGTCTCTTCCTACCCCTGATCTAGAGCATATTTGATATAAAACACTGTTCAAGAAAGCATTTCAGTCAATTTCAGAAATTCTTGACTGACAGGCTAATGGACTTAACAAAGTAAAGAGGTGACACTTGACTGCAATTTTCAACCAATACAAAAAAAACACACTAATAACTTACCAACAGACCATAATTCCATATCTGCACTGCCATATTTGATACACTTGTAACCTTCAAAACCTGCCAAGACATATGATTGTCCATCTTGTAAGTCTTCAATGTCTGTTATTCTTTGACCACCATCTTTATCATAAATTTGACGAACACCATAGGGTAAGTTCAGATTAGACGGTAATTTACCAGTAAGCTCATTCAGAAGGTCATTAAAATTAAAATATCGATGGGGTGTGACAAACATTTTCTTCCCTTTGAAATACCGATCTCCATTAACAAAGAAGTTGATTTTTCGAGGTCTTCGAAGATCTTTATATTTGTCAGTAAGGACATCTTGTTGATGATGTTGGTTAGTGTTCATTATGCCAGGGCTAATTAAGGATGTCATTTCTATCAGGATGGATCATTGAATTATTTAGATGTGAGATAATACATCTGAAATGAATGAAAAACATGTGTTTGGTTATTTACAGTATATAAGTAAGAACACGACACAACAATAATACAACAGTTACAGTCAAGACCAGAGTCAAAACCACACTTGAGGTACTATACAAATGATGGAGATACTATACAAATGATGGCGGTACTATACAAATAATGGTGGTTCTATACAAATGATGGTGGTACTACACAAATGAATGATGGAGGTACTACACAGAGGAGGTACTACACAGTGGAAGTGAATATGAAATAAAGCTATTTCACACAATATACAAATGATAGTGGTACTATACAAATGATGGAGGTACTACCAGCATACAAATGATTGCAACACTATATATAAATGATAGTCTTGCGTGTCATGAATGCATCGTCTCCTTAAGTGATTTTTTTATAAAATATTCAAAAATTCATTAAGTTAAATCCTCACCCTCATTTAAATTGAATGAAACCTTTCTAATGTCACCAGTAAGACAGAAACTCTCAATACAAAGGAATTAGGCTGGTTTTGTTATTATCTATTATGAAATCTAAATATTTGTCACTACTGCAGCTGGTTCCTTTGATTAAATCACAAAAAATCTATAAACATTTTCATATAACCAAAACCCGCCTGGATGTATCACTATTCAGACAATTCTGGGATCCATTATCAAAATGTCATGTCATAAATTATATTCCTCTGTCCAAAACACAATGTTTACTAAAACAAATGACATTTTGGATGCCAGTCTTAAAAGAGACAAGATCATTGGACAAATGATTCAACAGACAGAATAGCAAGCTAATTAAACCTCATTTCATAATATTATTCAATACTTTATAATACGTTATGAACAAAGGAAAGGCTTGCTTCATAGATATGATTAAATCTAATTAAATCTAATCAATGCCAATTGTAGGAATACTGGTGGCTCAGGCACAGATTAAAGAGACATATTGGAGACACTCAATGACTAAATCCCAATTATAGACAATCAACTGCTAAATAATATAAGAGATAACAATAACACAAAATAAGGAGAGGAAAGAGATATTGGATTTAACAACCACTCGACATATTAATCAGGTCATTTTGGAAGAAATATATATGGTATAGTTTTACTTAAAGAATTAGCTTGCTTGCAGGAGCATTTGGAAGGAAACCAGAGAATCCAGTACAAAAACCCACGACCTTATCACCTTCAAACACCAAAGAACCAATGGCTTGCAGGCCCAAAAAACGCCATGAAGCAAAAAATACAGTAATCTGAATCTGCATTAGTTTCAGGAACCTTAATCAGTAATTAAGCTAGAATTGCTACGAGTCATACAGAATCGAAGTAATCTTCTTAGTCCTGACCCGAAGCAACGGATTCAGAGATTAGAGATGTAAGATAAAGAAAATAGTTCTTTATGTGAAGAAAAACATCTTAAAATGTCTGTTGTACATTTCTAGAAAACCAGTAATTGTGTCTATTAAGAATTAAAACCACATTCTTACAATGAGCTTACTGATTTGTTATTTACAAACTTATTTTTTAAAAATTTGATATGGAATATATTGGCATGAAGTCCCTTTAAAACAATGTTATCTAATGAATTGCTATGAATGTATTGATTAAGTTGTTATAATGAGTTCTATAAAATCTAGATCATCTGTTTATATTAAAGGGGTTGTATCAGTGAAATCAATCATGGATTTGAAACAATCTAGAGGATATGTCAATGACAATGTTACCACAAACAACTGAGCAGCAAATTAATATCGCTTTCCAATTTAAATTGTTGTGAATCCAAATGTCTGGTTTTGAGTTTGAGCTATATGTATATTTTTGGGCAAGTGAATATCATAAAAAGGGGGTTAGAAATCTTAATCCAACTGTGGAAAATAATTATAAACATAGTATCACAACAATATACTGTTTAGGTAATTGTTATACATAATCATTTGTTTGTGAACAACCATAGAAATATCAGTTTATTTCTCAGTAATAAAAACAGAGAGAAATGCATAATCATATATGACACAAAAAATATTTTTGATTAAAAAAAAAAGTAATTATGGTAGTGTTGCTTTGACTTTAATACTAACAATGTAGAAAATATCTCTAGGTGTAATCTAATCGAACATTAAATAGCACATTAACTGAAACAATATTATTGATAATCTAGGTGTAACTACCATGGAAATCCCAATATAGCTCATAAAACACTTGATTTATTGTTTTCAAAGCATACATACGTTTCGTAACATCTGAGTTTCAGAAACATTCTGTATGCACAGCTACAGGTAGCTTTACTAAGAAACTTTTAACATTAAAAATATCTATATTGCAATCCTTTAGTGATTTGCCCATTGACATATGTTATATACACATATTAAATGCAAACATAAGAAGCAATATAATTCATTTCTATTTTATATGTAATGATTGCAGTACAATTTATCTGACCAGATACAACTCGATCAAACTCCTGATCATTATTTGAGTGATTGTTAACACTGTGTAAGCTACAATATTTTGAGTGTTGAGTTGAATATGTCCAATGAAAATCAGTAAAAAAATTCCTTTCGGATGATATAAATGGGATTATGCCAAAACTAACAGGCGTCACCTAAAATCTTATAACTAACCTCACTTTAATCTGGCTGCATCCAAGCAGAGAGTGTCTACGACAGATATTCTGAGACAGTCTTAGGAACCTCCACATATTTTTTTAGCAATGATCAGTTAGTCAGTGCAACTGCAACACATAGAGGTGTAGCCAAAGTTTGTGACAGCTGGTCAGTACATCAGTTTGCAGCTTCATCCCCACCCCTAACCTATTAAATGTAACAAACAACACAATACACATTAAACCGCCTAAAACTTGTAAACAAAATGTAAAAACATCACACAGTTGTGAAAATGTTAAACTTTTAAATTATTAATTATTCCAATAAGTGTTCCCTGAAAAACTTCTTTTTTACTTGCCATTTTACAGCTATAAACAACTAATTAGTTTGCTGTGTTTAAAAGGTTATTTTCCCTATAAAATACTATTCAATAGTCTTATCACATTTAAAGGTCAAATGATCTGTACTCTTAATGTTCAGCTCCAGAAGTCAATCATAACCATATTACTTCCAAAGAACAATTTATAATTGCTTGAAAAAAAATTAGTATGGATTGGTGGTATCACAGCAACACACAAGTTTCAATTACTTGTTGGGTTTCCATACAAGTATACAATGTCATATGATATATGTATATTTTAATAAAATTTCAAGTATCAATTATAGACTCAATAAGCTCATACTACCAACTGACCTACATGGCAAGATAATAAAAATGTTTATTGTTTATTCAAGCATTTAGATAAAACTCAAGTAGATTAAATATGCATGAATGATTACTTTAAAAGCTACTGGTAAAATAACATTTTGAGATATCAATAATGTTTTCTTTAAAGGGATGCATGACTATAAAGTCAAATATTGATCACTCACAATCAAATGTACCCACACTCATGTATCCAGGATAACGAAAAAGTGGAAGATACATAAAATTTGAAAGTTTCTTTAAGATACATTATGGGAGATTCGATAACGAGTTGGCAGCTCTCACTATAATAGCTAAAAACTAGATAATGTAAAGGCAATTTGCTGAAAATTTCATTTAAATTAATCCACTATGAACCGAGAACTAAGCGATTGAAATTTCCGCCTAGCCTCAATCATCATTACTAAGTCAATACGATAAACAACATAGTCTTGATTATCCATTTAATCGTTAAATCGTGAAGGAAGGTTATGCAGTAAATTGGCTCATAATCCACTAAAGATCGCAGGCTAGCAATGTCATCTAGAGTTGATTATGGTCTGGGTAGGTTAATTAATGTCTAATTAATAATTTAGATAACATTTCAGGCCTAAAGAAAGACCTGCAATAGACAGATTTAGCTCCTGCATAATGTATGTTTAAATCGGACTTTGTCAGATCAGATTCAGACATTCATAAAAATACATGTTCAATACATTCATAAACAGAGAGAAGCCAAATTTGGGGTATATACCAATTAGAAAATTAACACGAATAACTGTTGAATTATAGTCTCAATTTTAATTGTGTAAATCTTTTAATTTGACTATTGCCTCTGGCTTGCCAACAATCTGCATTTCTTGATAAAATTCAGTAATTTCTGTCATATTTGAATTTATTCTCCGACATTGTGCAAGTGCAATGATTAATCCAGAAAGTAGGAGAAATTATTTCTCAATGGGTTTTAGGACAGGATAATTGCCACGTGATGTGGACCAAGGTAGGGCAAATCACTACTCTACAAGAGTGGGATAATTTGATAAAATGTTTATATTCTTTACTACTTGGGGTTTGCTTGAATCAATTTAGATATTGACCATTTATTGAAGGAAAACAAAACCCTCTACCTGAGTGGAATAATTTGGAGTTTGGTTGAATTAATTTTAATATGGACAAATTATTAAAAGAAAACAACATATACCTATATTAATTGATTGGTCAAATATTTCTCTACAGGCTAATTCATTTGTATAGTCCTGGTACAGATTGGGCAGCGGGCACGCTAAAACTTTTAAAACCATGTATAAAATAAAGTCGAATTTCGACTATTTCCAGAACACAGTAAGGGGGGGTGGGGGTGGGGAGAGAGAGAGCAAGAGAGAGATTTAACACAAACTTGGTCATTTCGGGACTAACATATGGTTCAATGTTATTTCAATAATAGGTAGGGATTTTTAGTAGTAAGGAAAAAAAACGGACAGAGCAAGAGAGAGATTTAACACAAACTTGGTCATTTCGGGACTAACATATGGTTCAATGTTATTTCAATAATAGGTAGGGATTTTTAGTAGTAAGGAAAAAAAACGGACAGGCGGCCCTATTCCTGTTCACATACAAGCGGGGAATCAAAACCACACCACTTGATTCAATGACAGACCTAAATATCTAAAGCACATGTGGTAGACCAAACAGTCCCTCCCACCCCCTTTAGAAATTTCACAACCTATACTGATTTGCAGAGACAATATATAGCATTTATTGGGTAAAGACAACAGATTCTGATAAATATTTCATACAACGCTAAACTGATCAAATACGGTACCTATTGCATGAACAGACATCAATTAACAAATATCAAGAAATCAGTTGGAGTAACAAAGAATTCAAATATTTATACGAGTACTATGATCATTAAGTACACTACTTTGTATTTCTAATAGTTTTCACGGTATAAGTATCACAACAAAATATTTTTGCATTCACTCTTGTCAAATTTAAATTTTTTCCAGGGAGGTCAACAAATGCTTGTGTGAAATGCTTTGCTCTAAGAAAATAATTAGGTGTGCCTCATTTAATTTTGAATATAATACTATATGAAGTTAATTACATTTACTTTCTTGTTAAAAGTGATAAAGTCTCTTTAAGGGCATTGAGTACTCTAAACTATACATTTTAAAGCTAGCACTGTAAGTTTTGTTCATAAGATATGACATGTTTTGTTATTTGGGGTGATAAACTATCCTGCGCAGTTATGCCTGCATGGATTTTCATCAAATTTGGCATGAACAATGCTAAATGCAAGTCCAAGAAACCTGCAGGACACTTTTTGTCTATAGACCGTGGTTTGTCTGGTATCCATGGAAATGCAAAAAAAATGATGAGTTTTCTTGGAAATTCTATAAGTTCATGCCAAAAAGAGATATCGATAATCCCTCCCTTAGATCTAAAGTACAGGTTATAAGTGACATTTTGATACTCAAAAGTATTTCAAACTCTTGGTTCATTATTTACCCTCAAACAAGATTTTGTGATTTTTGGTAAATTCTTTGAATAAGTACAAGAAGTTTTAAAATACAACAATTTGGACATTAAAAGTAAATATTTTTACTTCGATGCACTACTCCACCGCTCTCAAAATCATTTTATACATTCAAAAATGGTAGTTTTCGACCAACAAAAAAAGAAATTGAGCGATGATTCTGTCATGATAGATGTTAGACCTGGATAATCATGTCTTAGAGGGAATTCCTTCTAACGTCATATATAGATAGAAGTCAATGGTCCAGTGTGAAACTGTTGCTGGAGGCAGCCAGGGCTCTATAAAAGTTGAGTGTGCCTGTGCACACACTTGAAAATGTGCCTCCAGGGTCATACTGAAACATAGGGATGTAGCCAGGATTTGGTGAGTGGTGTAAAAAAATATTTGGCGAGCGGAGCTAGTCCAAAAATTTTTGGGAGGGGGGCGTGGTCTTTTATGAAAATAAAACCCTTCTTGGTGTATTTTCAGAGCATTTGCTGCCCTTTGTATTTGGTTCAGTGCAAATCAAATTTCCATTTATATATTCAAATTTTACCAAATTCACTTAATTTCCATCAATGATACAGGGATCTAAAAACTTTTTGACACCACCCGACCGAGCATAAAATTGTCCCGCCCCACTCTGTTTCTCTGGATAGATAAGTTGAGGATCTTTCGGTATTTGTTGTTTTGTTGGGTTTTTTTCAAATATTACTTTATTACTTTGAGATTAAAAATTAAAACGATTCTTAAAACGGTGTTTGTGTTTTATTTGAGTACAACGAATTATTTATTTGACTTATGTTTGTAAAGTTGTTGTACGTGTCTCACGAATATTATTATTATTACGGTGGAATGAGAATCAGGTCAGGCAGAAACTGAGAAAGCTCTCATCTTCCTCCTAGTCCTACTCTCGGGCCGTAGCAAATCCACGGTCAACACAGGTAAGAAATAAAATAAGAAACATCGTGAAAATTTGCAGGCACGTGTTGGACAATTACGACATTCAAACCTTTAACATTGGAGTGCCGTAAATTGGTCTGGGTGACCTATTTACGGCAAATAAATATAAAGACCGTAGAATAATTGTAAAATGGATAGATCTAGGCCTACACATCTTCTAAGTATAAATAAACAAAATACCAATACATCTTTCTTTAAACTAATTTAGGATGATAGGGTCTACTACGGCACACAAAAATAAATTATGCCGTGACAGACATGGTTTGCGTACGTCGGCTTTTACCATGGCTTTGCCGTTTAATTGCCGTGGTAAATTTCGAGCGCCGAGTTCGTGTACAGAGAAGGACGAAGGGGTTTAAATACGACTGGGCGGCTTTCTTCGATTTTTTCTTTGTGCTGGGCGGCAAAAAATAGTGCCCGACGTGGCAACATCTTTAAAAATGTGCCTGCAAAAAAGTTTTTTTTAAAGCAAATGTGCCTGCGCACACCGTGCGCGGAAATATCGATGCCTGGAGGCATCCATGATCGTTTACGGCATACAATGTCTCATTTGCGATAAATAGGTTTTTTTTCTTTCCGCTTGTATCTCCATTATTAAACAACCAACGTTCAGACTGTTATGTGTCCTCACGATTATTTTACACATGGAATAAGTATGCAAAGTCTTAATAAGATTGGTGTTAAAAAGTTATTGTATATCTTAGACTACTTAAAGCTCTTAATGCATATTATTTCAACTATCTAAGGCAGGAATGGCCAATCTCCAACACATGTGCCAAACGTGGCACATTGGGATGACTAGAAGTCGCATTCCATCTCTGTGATAATAATAAAGTAAGGCAGCAAGTCAGTTCATTTTGTTTTAAGCGATTTTAATATTGTGTACACATCCTTTTTAGTGAATGTAATCTTCATTTCAGTTGAAAATATGCTAGTAAAGATAAACTTTTGTTCTGCAATCGTCCTGCAAATATGCTAAATTATATGTTATAAAATAGGCGTTTGGTGGCTGAATGGTCCAACGTGTGCACTTTGGGTCTGTCATTGAGTCGAGTGGCGTGGTTTCGATCCCACGTATGTGAGAAGAACTTTGGTTGCTTGTCCAAACTTGTGGCTTTGCTCCAGTTCCTCCGGTTTCCTCCCACTGCTAAAGACCCCTACATACCAGCGAATTAATGAAATCAAATTGAACCGTATGTTAGTCTGAAATGACCTAGGTTATCTTAACCACAGTGTTTACGAATGATAATTACCTCCTAAATACTGTATTCATGAATTACGATTACCTTTTAAGTACGTTATTTCTATGAATTACGATTACCTTGAAAATACTTTATTTTTTATGAATTACAATTACCTCGTAAATACCTTATTGTTCTGAATGACTTTTGAAACATTGATGAGCTAATTACCCTTACCCAATACTAGCTCATCAGGGCCGGCAGAAGCAATTCTTGATAAGGGGGGGGGGCACCATCCTAGGACTTTACGTGAGAGTCCAGGGGCCACCTTGGCCCCGGAAGCTCCTGGGGATCTAGATCATCAGAAACGCTTTCTGGTTAATGAAATTACTCAGCAATGAAGTTAAATTTTATTTCTTTTCTAGATCCCTTACCATGCAAACAAACTCGATGGTGGTTTTCTGCGATGCTGAACTTGACAAATATATGTATAATAATACCAATTAAGATTGTCGACACTCTAGGAGGCACAATTTTTATATGATTTTGATGAAACCGACAAATGTTATAACCGAAAGATCTCGACACGTTTAGCTTGTGGACACTCTAGACCTCAAAGTTTTTATTTGATTGTCAAACCGTTCAAATATATCACTGTTACACCATGTAATTACGTCCTACGAGTTCAAATTTCGTAGCCAGCGTGGGGCAATTTAAGGGGGGGGGGGGAGGGGGCAATGCCCCCCCTCTCCCCCCCAAAAAAAATTGCTGACCTTTGCTCTAAAATGCCTACTGTAGACTGTGTCGGGTGTGCCCCCCCCCCCACCCTCTAAAAACTTCACTGCCCCTCCCCAGCCAGAAACTGAGAAAGCTAGCTGGCTACGGGCCTGCTGTGATCGACGGTCCTGCACAGAATTTACCGTTATGATGAATGTATTATGTTATTCTTTTGAGGCTTTTAAAGTTTTTATTTCAATAATAACACAACATATATCACCAATAAACATACAAAATACATGAAAAATGATTGATAAATGGACACCTGTCTGAGTGACAAGCGACAAATCATAATCATTGAGAAGCAAATTGTTTGCCCTAGAAACCAAACTAAAATCACTATTACGATGTTGTAACCCGTTCAACAAAATTTACAAAATATAAAATGATTTGAGAAACATAATGTAATAAAAAGACATCGAAAAATATTCTTACTTTGTCCAGTAGATTGGTTATTTCCACGAAATTGTTTAATGGTCTTCTGTCGGTAAACAGTTAAATGGCCGCCATATTGTGTACCTGAGTGACCTGGTTAATTTGCATACGACCCCTTCACGGCTTCAGGTAACATACTTTCAGAGAATGGCGCGAATGTAATGGAACAATATCGATTTAAAAAAAACAAAAACATTCGTACGTAGCTAATGAAAGTAGATAGATTTTTCTATCAACTTATGCTATTATCATTAATTTATTGATTTATATTCCGATATAAAGGTTCTATGGAATTTTAGAAAAAAGACTCGAGAGTAATGGTAAAATCTTTGAGAGATTTTAATATTTTTTTTGTGGACAAACCAAAATAACTATCTAATACAGACGACTGTTTTCATATAGTGCCATACTAGAGAAAAAGTATGGCACGTACTACGAAAACTTTCTTCGTAGTGCCATACTAGAGGAGGGGTTGGATGGCCGAATGGTTAGCACATGCGTGCTCTGTATCATAAGGCCCGTCATTGAGTCAACTAGGGTCGCCTGTCCAGCCTCGTGGGTTTTCTCCGGGTCCTCCCATTTTCACGAACTTCGAACTCAACTATCATCAGGGTGTAACGGTGATATACTAAAACAGGTTTTTAAATCGGATAAAAATTGTGTCCTCTAGAGGGACCTTTGGGAGATTGACCTGTATTTCAAGTTTTGTCAAAATTGGATAAAAATTGTGACCTGTACGGACATCCAAACTTCCAGTGGTGACGACAATATACGTTTACATGAAAATGGTTAAGCAAGACTAATTTCAAAACCAGGGCACGTAACCTATTTGTTACTCAGAAGTGCCGGATGTTATGTCCGACACTCGTAACCATCTTTCAGTGAAATTGTTTCCTCAAATTAATATGAAGCACCATGCCCCGTTCACATAATCGTCAGTGGCCTGTGCATGGATTTCAGAAGCTTAATTTAAGCAGCAGCTCATTTTATGTCATGCCAGCTAGTTCACAGCAAAATTACAGATTCAGTAAAAACAACGATGCTGAAATATTTTATTTTTAAACAATTTTTAACTACATCTATAAGTATATATAACTGATTTAGAATTGGCTCTATATCAAACAATATCTTAAAATATTTTGGTATAGATAAAAATGTTTAAATCTTATAAAAATTTCGACCCCACCCGCAACCCTACATGTTTGTATGTTGAAAATTTTGAGATGATTTTTCCCAATTAAAATTACCATAAAGTGGTATATTCCAAGTTTAAGGAAAAGTGAAAAACACCCCCACCACATCATGTTGGTATTTCGAAAATGTCGAAATAATTTTGACACCATTCAAATTCCTATAACAGTTATGTTCCAAGCTTAGAAAAATGGAAAATTTAGAATTTTGTTCTGTAATATGAAATTTGGGCACAAAATCTGATTATTCTTTAATATAGGTGTATGAAAAAAACTAAGTAATGTACAATAATTAATCAATCCAATACATTATATGATATTTTGGATAGTTGATTTAATTGAGTTATTTACATATTAAGGCGTACTATAAAAAAAAGGAAAATGGGTAAAAACATAAAAAAAGCAAAACAAGTCCTTGTGTATCAACTGGAAATGTTTGCTCAGTATTGACCTCACATTATAAAATACAAAATCATACATATAATATAAATAAAAAATTATAACAGTAGACACCTGTCATACAACTTCATTAAACAAAATACTATTTTGGCGATAACAAGATCATAATTTGTTTAATTTAACATAAGATATTTTGATTACAATAACAAAAACTTTCAATGGGAAAGACGAATATAAATTAAAATCTCTTATCTTCTATAAGTACATATTAATTAAGAAATTATATAATGTATTGCGACTGATGACCTATCGGTTGGCTCACATTCAACAATATTTTAAAATATATAAAAATATGGGTATAGATAAAAAAAAATTTATTTTATGTGGTTGCATGCAAAAATCTCTTCGACCCCACCACCACCCCAAGTTTGTATGTCGAAAATTTCGAAATGATTTTTCCCAATTAAAATTACCATAAAGTGGTATGTTCCAAGTTTAAGGAAAAGGGAAAATTTAAATTTGGGACCTGTAGCATGATGGACCGACAGGCATAATACATCTCCCCACCCCCTATCACATCTTGTTGGTATGTCGAAAATTTCGAAATAATTTTGACCCCATTCAAATTCTCATAACGGTTATGTTCCAAGCTTAGAAAAATGGAAAATTTAGAATTTTGGGCACAAAATCTGATTATTGTTTAATATTGGTGTATGAAAAAAAACTAAGTAATGTACAATAATTAATCAATCCAATACATTATATGATATTTTGGACAAGTTGATTTAATTGATTTAACATATCAAGGCATATTATAAAAAAATAAAATGGGTAAGTTCTTGTGTATCTACTGGAAATGTTGGCTCACTATTGACCTCACATTATAAAATAGGCCTACAAAATCATGCATATAATATACTAAACAGCAGAAAAAAAACGTCAGTACGATTTCAAAATCAGAAAGGCACTTTAATCAAATCATTGTAGAAATCAACAGTATATTGACACATTAGTGATTAATTCATCACAATTTCAAGACATTACAAGAAGGTTTAGAGTCTGTACACAGTCTACACATTAGTATCTGGTGTGTCCACCATGAGTGTCAATAACAGCAGCGCAGCGTCTGTACATAGAGTGGACAAGACGATTGATGAACGCCATTGGCACCTGGAACCACACTCAAAAATCTATTGGCTGTGTTTGGTCTCGGTATGACGTTATTAAGTCTCCTCAGAATTTCAGTCCAAAAATGTTCCATCGGGTTTAAGTCTGGACTAAGGGCTGGCCAGTGTACGGGCATTGTCATGCTGAAAAATGTTTCGATGACGTGCGAAATGTATGACGTGGGGTCTGAGAGCTTGATCAATGTAGCGCACTGCTGTGATGGCGCCTCTAGTTAAGGCCGATTCCACCCCAAACTATTATGCTTGGACTTCCCACGAGTCTCGTTCCATGACACATTGGTCAGAATAACGCTGGCCTCATCGACGCCATATTCTGGTCCTACCATCTGCAGTTGATACTCAATACTGACTCATTGATCTGTGAACAGAACAGTTCTCCATTGCCTGTGTCACCAGTTCTGGTGTTGTTGTGCAAACTGTAGACATTCCTGTTGGTGGTGAGGGGTGAGGATCGGTCCACGGTAAGGTCTACGGCAATGGATGTTTCTCTGGTGAGACGTTGGCGCATTGTATCAGTACTGATTGGTCTTCCGTGTGTTCCCACAGTCTGACGTGCTGTCTCAGATGCCTGTGTGAAGGGATTCTGCACGTGCTGTCGCACAACATTGCAGTCTTGTCGCCTTGTGGTAACCCTTGGTCTACCAGTTCGGGGGGCGATCATCCGTGGTGTTGGTGGCCTGAAAAGCGTTGCTGAAGCCTGTAGATGGTCCGAACATTGACCTGGAAGTGATTGGGCAGTGTGACCAGCGTCAAGTCTTCCAAGCTCTTGGTTCCTCTGAGCTGTCGTGAGTCGTGGCATGCTGCTGAGGTTGTAGTGTGAATGATTCAACCAGGTATGGGGGGTGCATTTTATAGGGCTGGTCCCCATGAACAGCACATGCAGCAGGAGTTACCATCTCAGAAGTCAGGTTGCGTTTTGAGAACATTTCCTGGGTTCAATTCTGTGTTTGGGAAAGAGCCTTATTGCTAAGGTCAAGTTGGAGATGTGGTCACAAATATACAATAAAAAACATTTGGCAAGTTTTATGCAATGCGTCTATTCAGAGTAACATAGCAACCTGACGTTTCTTTTGCTGCTTAGTATATAATGAAACATTATAACAGTACAACTTCATTAAACAAAATACTATTTTGGCGATAACAAGATCATAATATTTTGTTTAAATTAACATCAAATATTGTGATTGCAATAACAAAAACTTTCAATGGAAAATAAGAATATAAATCAACATCTCTTGTTTTCTAAAATTATATAATTGATTAAGAAATAATATAATGTATTGCGACTGATGAACTATCGGTTGGCTCACATTCAACAATATTTTAAAATATATGGGTATAGATAAAAAAATATTTAATTTGGTTGCGTGCAAAAATCTTATAAAAATCTCGACCCCACCACCACCCCATTTTTGTATGTCGAAAATTTCGAAAGGATTTCGGCCCCATTAAAATTACCATAAACAGGTATGCTCCAAATTTAGGAAAAAGAGAAAATTTAAAATTTGTACCTGTAGCATGACGGACCGGCAGGCATAATATAATTTGGAATTTTGTTCTGTATTATGAAATATAGGCACAAAATCTGATTGTTTAATATGGAAATGAAATGAAAATGAAATGAAATGGGGTTTAATGTCCTACTGTTTTGCTCCGAACTGGGCTAATGAAGACAGGCATATAAAACAACTAAATAAAGTACAATAATTTATGTCCAATACATTATATGATATTTTGGATAAGTTGATTTAAAGATATATTCGTTAAGAGTTTAATAAAGACTTGGCCATTCTTGCTATAATAATTCAAAAATAGATGATAAAGAAAGAAAATATTGAAATTTTTAGTCAAATTACTTTATTTTGAACGCAGTTGTCACTGTTGGAAATTTGGACTAGAAATAGACATCAAGAATTTCTGATCATTTGATTAAGAGACGATAACTCCACCCACATATTCTCGATTATCAAGTAACATTCTCAATGGCAATGGTACTCTCGCTTGGCAGGCCTTTCATCACCAGTTTCCAGTAGTGACATCAGCGACATACGGTAAACGTGAGCTTCGTCAGCCATTTATTGATTTAATTTTAAATGGATGACTGTTTAAATCCAAGCTGTATCCAAGCCATCCAAGGGTCTACAGAGTGTATTTTGAGCTTGTCATGTAAATAAAGGTCTAATTAATAATTTCTATAATATCTGAAGCCTAAATAAAGACTTACAATAGGCAGATTTAGCTCTTGCATAATGTATGTTTAATTGAGTTATTTACATATCAAGGCATACTATAAAAAAAAGAAAATGGGTAA